GTTTATAATTGTGCCTTAAAGCAATCAAAAGCTTTGTTTGATCTCTTTGCACAATTTTCTATGGCAGTAATGGCGAATTCTTCTATACTGAGAATACGCTGAAAATCAATTGCTTCATTCAGCGAGATTTTATTATTTTATAGAAATTTTTCTTGAGGTCGCCTCTGGCGAAGCAATTAGCAGAATTATTTTAAAAGGCATATATTTTAATTGGCTAACAATTCTTTATTTAACAATGCACAAATGAAATTTTGATTCGTTCGCATTTGCAGTTCCAAACCGCAGTGATTTTCGTTATTTGATAATTTAACAGAACTGTGAGTTATTGAAAAAGATAATATCTCTGCTGAAAATATTCTGTTAATACTGAAACAATTTTAAAAAGCAACGATTTTAATGGTCGCTTCAAAGACTTAAAATTTTCGACATGCTTTATTGGATAATATGCGCCACGTTCAGTGCGACATATTCGGAATTGGCTTTTTTCCTTTACACAAAGAACTAATTGAAAAAAGAATCTAAATTTTTATTCCAACGAAATGGAACTGCAAAGAATTCGTTCAAAGTTTTTTAGCTTTTCCCTCTTCCTACAGAAATGTAGTGGCTTTTAGCCATATAAATCATCTATTAAGAAATAAGTTAAATTTATCCGAACATTACTATCTGAAAACACCATTAAATAGATAATTGTTAAACGAGATTTAGGAGATATTACTGCACCACATCGCGCGAAGCCAACTCGTTAATAATCACAAATAAGTATCGTTTTAATAATTTGTTGCTTCAAATTTTTTGTATTTACACAATTTTATCAGAAAAGCTTTCGCAATAACTTCTACCAAATAACATTTATAGGTCAGTTTCGTTTAGATAGGCATCCAAAAATTTCCCTTTCTTCTATATATAATCTTTTTTGAAATTTTTTGCCTCTTAAATTATTAAAATTTCAAGAAATATTAATAGCAAATATTCTCATTTTTTGATTAATTAAGTACGTGCAAAAAGTGCAAAATCTTTAGAAATAACGAAATTCCAAGGTAATTCGATGGGAAAAATATTTCTGTTAAAAACGACCAAGAAAATGGTTGAAAAATGTTGTCATGCCTTAGAATATTGAATACCTTAAAAAATGGGCACTGGAAAATAAAATACGAAGGACGCTAAATTTATGAAAAATTCAGCTTGACTGGGGCCTTGGATTGTTGAATTATTACTTAATGCACAATGCTCTGTTGGCATTTGCAATCATGGATTGAATTTAATTGTGTTCGAGACGGTGGATGGTGGTTTATGGATATGGTTCAGCTTGAAAACACCTTTCTTCAGAATATCTTTATCCTTTATCCTTTCGTCTCGAATCAGTTCAGGCCTTATCAATGTTGATAACTTTTGAAGAAATTAAGCAACTTGTGAACGTTGAAAATTCAATAACCTCTTGAATTATTCTAACTGTTGAAGTCAATCCGCTCAGTCTAAAGTAATTCACATTATACAAAGAGATTTTCTCATTCACTCAACTATTCTCTCTGAAGACGATCTGCTGAATGGAATTTATTATAATATGAGTGAGAGAAGGAGAACTGGTAGGCGTGGGATTACGGAGACCGAGCGTCCAGGCCAAGCGTGGCGTCGATAAGGTGTCATAGCAGGAATGTCATGGCAGCTGGTCTGTGTAAAGAGGGGCGTATGGCTCAGGGCCTAGCTGCACAATTTAAAGATCATTATTTATCGTTCTGACGCCAAATTTTTACGCCAAAAACGTTTTGTTTGACATCTGTTCATCCGCTGAAGATTCAAAAAAAGTACTGAAAACATACGTTCGAAAGAGCGAAAAACGATTATAACAAAGGAATTTTCATTGAAGAAATGAAATGACAAAAACTACCCATTTCATGATGAAACTAATGGTCGTTCATGAATGGGCCAATTATTAAAGGAGAGAATAGTCCATTCATTTGTTAGAATCAGAAAGCAGCACTCGATATCCAGTATTAGCCAGGATAGTTCAGAATTATTTAGCAAATGCAGTCATTAGAGCAACTTTTTTAGCGAATAGAGAATATTTGGTGGAACTATAAAAGTCAAAAATTTTGATATGTAATGTTTTTCTGAAAACAAATAAAATGAAAAATATTTTTTCGGAAACTTTTTTCACTTGAATTTCCATTTTTGCATTCTGAAACAGCAGCTAGAACTGTATTTTGACAAAACTTGTGTGGAATCGGTGCGAAAACATTATCCAAACGAAAATTTGCATTTGTCTGGCTATATTATTTTGTTATATAATTACGCTGATTACGCTATGCCTCTTTCAATACATTTCAGAAATTGCAAGTATCACTAATTGTTAACCTAATTGTTAATTCTTGATATAGTTTCCACTAGGATTAAACCTGGATTAATAAGCAGGAAGTATTTTAGATAAGGAGGTTCACCGATATATGCGCTTAGCCCATGGAAAAAAATATCAGATATGGCATCAGCTTGAGAGGCTTGGAAACACTTTATTACTGAGACCACAGAACCTAGCCAGTAATGGTGATAGCTGGGAGAAGACGAATTGGACGAACGGTGATAGTGGATTAATCGCTCGAAAATTGTCGCTTCTCGTTTCATCAAATCATTTGTCGTTTCCCCATGAATATGACATCTGGACCAAAGAAGAATTTGTTAAGAACTTTTACTATAACCTCATGCCAAAATATTCAATGCTTTACTCCAATAATGGACTTAAACTGTTTGGCGCTGTAGGCATATAATGCAAATGTAATTGTATAAAATATGCAAATCTATTTATTCCTAGCTTTCTTATCTTCTGCCTATTTATTCCATATTAATAGCACTATTTATTTCTGCTTAATACTATTTCCCGGCCAATCGCCTTACTTTTTGCTTCCAGCAAATGCTTTAATTATTTTCCATTAATTAAATTTAATAAATTTAACGGATTTTTTGAATATTTTTAACCAAATGTTTGAAACATTTTGAATTTGATTGATTTAAAGAATATAGTTAGGGTTTTCATTTATACTTTAATTAATTAATTAATGAGCAAAAAATTCTCGCAAAAAAGAATTTCGCTGCTAAGAGAAATTCTTCCTAATATGATCATTTCCTTTTCCCTCATTCAACACCATTCACCGTCTCTGATTGGCTTTGCTGGCTTTCAGGACGAAAGCAGTCAGGAAGTCAAAAGGAGATAGGCGGGATAGACGCATCTCCGGACTACACTTGGATCTCACATTTAGTTAACTGACGCCAGAGGAAAAGAATTTGATTGTATTAAAAAATTGGGATTAATGAGGTCAGAATTAATCAAATTTGTATACTATTCACTGCGAGCTGCAATTTTCATAGTTTAAAATTGTTTAATGCAAAGCATCCTTGGTTATAAAGAAATTTCATCGCCTTCTACCTTATGAGTTTGTTGAGTTTATTCCAATCTTTGAAGTCTGGAACTTCGTTTCGGAAATTTATTGAACTAATGCAAAACTTTACCCTTTATTTTTAAATTTAAATTTTGATTTTTTTTTCTTTTTTAAATTCCCTTATTATTATTATTTATTATTAACGTTGTTAATTATCAATGTTATTGTTAATTATGAATTATCAATTTAATATTACTATTGTTTTTATTATTAGAATTTGTGGAATTATTTGTGTTTTTTTTTAATCCTTTCTATTTGTGCTGGTTGTCCTATATGTGGCTTTCCACTCAATGTGCGCTGTCCATTTCAAAATCCTCCTTATTATCTGTCAGTTATATCCCACTACTTCAAAATTATTATCGACTAATAGCAACTGATAAGTTTCATTATTGAATAATAATGGAACTTACAGTGATGATAATGGTAATAGTAATAATAACAGAATAATACCGATATTAGCAATAATAATGTAGGCAATAGTAATGAATAATTAGAATAAAAGTGATAAACAAATATTGATGATTTGCAAATTGCAGATGGAATAAGTATCATATAAACTAAACAAACGATTAATAAGTTTCTCCCTCCAGAATGGCTCTCCATTTTTGGCTCTTTAATTATCCATTTGAATAAAGCAAAGGAATTTTTTCGCTTATTCTTAAATTTCATGATGGATTTCATTTCTTTCAGAAATGCTAATCCATCGCGCTTACATTCTTTCATCAATTCGTCAACGGTCGAATTATTTCTTATTTGCATTTTACATGGTTCTTATTATATTGTTTTATTCATTTCTTATGGGTAATATAAATATTGGGTTGGCGAAGCAAAAAAGTTATTTATTTCAACTGAAACAATCAGATTTTAATGAAAACTCAAGGTTTGCTTTAAGCTTATGTTAGATAACGCATATCACATTATGCATGAGATGGTAGAAGGCTCATTGTGGCATGTTTCGGAGGGTCAATGATGAATCTCTACTCGCGGTAAGATAAATCTGCTTTTCAAAAATCGGGTCGTGCCAGCGACTCATCTTATTTTTATCGCCAAGTGAGTCATTGGCAAAGCCTTCGACAAGTCAGCGGAGCGAACTGGAAATCGCTTCGGAACGCTTAGGTAAAATTACTTGTATAAACTTTTATGAAATATATGGAGAAAGAATAGCCGAGTGGTTGTTATTCAGATTACCATCTTAAGAGCAAGGAGTCAAAATCTTAACAAGAGTGGACCTATCATTAAAAAAATTCCAAATTGTGCTGATCCACATTCCCTATGTCCACGTATAGATCCAAGTGATTGTGAAGGGAATGACAAAAATTTTTCACCTTATTCAATTATAAAAAGTTGCAACAAGAAAAGAGTAAATGGCAAGCGTTTACCATTTCCTTTTTTCGTTTTATGTGCATAAAACCGTATTCGGTTCGATTCAGTGCTTGTAAGGTGCGAAAATTCAAGAATATTTTATCCAAATTAATGGCCTTTTTCATCTCATTTTTGGTTTTTATTTATTGCAAAACCCATTAATTATTATTGGAAATTAGACTCTGTCGAAAATTCGAAAGGATTAAAAAAATGATGGTAATTTCTTTTTTCAGAATAATTGAATACAAAAAATATTGTATTGTGCCAGATGTAATAACAAGTGCGTTAAGCAAATCACTTAACAACTTTAATCGTATAACTCTTATCTTGCATGCTAGCTATGATTATTTTAATGATCGAATATTATCTCAGGTGGGTATTTTCCCAAATTTCTCAGACCATTAGTAAAAACTGAAAAAGCAGCGGAATGTTTGAATATTAAAAGAAATATGCAGCTAAAATACCATGTGAGTACACTTTTATAAAATTTGAAATAAGATTGTGGAAAAATTATTAATAAAAATTTATTAAAAAATATATAAAAATTTCATCTTGGAACTTCACGAAATTCGGTAAATTAATTCGATGATCTTCAAAATTCAAGGAACTTTAATGATTGCCTTGTAGATTTATGGTCGACCGAAGATAAGCTGCGATTATCATTAATAAATTAGGCATTATAAAGCATAATTGTGAAGGCTATCCTTTGATTTAAAAGTAGTTGAATGCCAGTTCCAGTTTAAGTGAAATAAACCCAACCCATTTCTTTATGCTAATTAGGATCTGTTTTTAAGGTCGACGCTTGGGATGGTCCAATTTCGCTCTCCATTTACATTCATTCTATCAAATCGTCAAAAAGGCTTTCGATGTATTTGCAAAAGGTCAGTGATTGCATAAGTTTGCATGATGACAAAGCTTATCGTGCAATACCACCTTTTCTTCTAAACGTTCACGATCTGAATTTATCTGATTCATGGTAATCATAAAAGTCCTAAAGGCATAACCGATGTCGATTAAATATATATCTATATTGCTAGTAAATATTCACGTCAATCTTCTAGACCTCTGGTAGAGAATTCGAGGTTCAGGGTGACCGAAGGAATGGTAGAGGGATTTTTTTGTGCCTTTGCAAAAAAAATATTTATTTATTCAAGTTTCCAACTTTTTTTGTATTTTCCCTCATTTTATGTAACTTTAAAATCAAATTATAGTGGAAAGGTTAATATAGGAGATTATTCATGGAAAGAAAAAATTTTCATTCAGTCTTAATTTTATGATAAAATTCGCAATCGACTGTGTGTAAATTCAGTATTTGTTGATTCCTTCTTCATCATTTCTGGCTTGGCTGGCTCTATTGATTGTTAGAATAAATGAGAGTCACGTAAAGATAGAGCTAAGTCTGAGTTCCTGCACTCTCCGAGCTTCCAATGATCGGTTTCCTTCGCCAGGAGATAAGAACCAAACCCACGCTACTAGATGTCAACGAAATAACAGATCGCTCGGCCTTTTTTACTGATTAACATGAATTACTCTAAAATTGTAGATTCGGAATTATTCATCGCAAATAGAAAATAAAGTATCAGTTCATGCATTTTTTTATTCCAATAATAAATGTGACATCGAAAAAATAAATGGACGAGACGATTTGCAATGGAATTTTACTGAACACGTATACCCAATAAATGTTGCAAGAAATATTGCGCGTATGGTTGGAAATTTTGAAATTTTGTAAAGATTTCCATTTTTAATGAATAATTCAATTACGATTGGAAGGCATTAAATTTTGTATAAAAATCACGATGAATTGTCATATATGATGCAAAGCGCGAGCAATTTATATATCTAATTTTCAGATGGCTAGAACTAAATATATACTGTTAGGTGATTATGACTTTATATTCTCGGAGAGTTTTGAACGAGACATTTCGAAATTGGCTGATAAAATATTAATTAGAAATCCAAAAACGGTGCTTGCATTTCGAATATTTGAGGCAGTAGGCAGCGGTTTAAGGTATATACTTTTATAATTTTCTAAATATTTAAAGAGATAATATCAAATTTCTGATTTTCTTCAAATTTCTGATCTCCTTATCAGATTGCGAACTGCGCAGTGATTATTAACCTTCCTAAATTTCGTCGAAAAGGCTTGAGAGATATATTTACACATATAATATATATGTTTAAGCAAAATTTGGCATTTAAGCCACCATCTTACATTGGTAAACTAATAAACTAATATTCGTGTACATGAATTGCTTCTCATGTCAATCGGACTATCCTTACAGAAGGAAATTATGAATAATAATTGAAAATTATTTAGAGTTCCTCGAAATAAAAGTGCACTTTATAAAGCTTATAAAAATGGAACAGCAATTGAATTTCACGCTATTTACGCGAAAGGAGCACATTCAATACCAGAACTTGAGAGTTGGTTCCAATCGAAGAACCACAGTGAACCGTCGACGAGTATTACGCTGCGGTTGCTAATTTAATTCTTTCAAGCGAAACTTTAGCTAATAGGGCGGTCCTTTTTAATAGAGAATGGCTTAAAAATGGGAAATTTTTTTACGATTAGTTTTGATGGGCTTTTAGACTATTTGCCAAGTAATTATTAGCTAATAAAGTTGATCAAGATATTTCATCTATTATTTCGAAAAATTATTCCAAAAAATACTAACCAGTTAACCAAAATATGTTAATTCTAATTGTCATCTCTTATGAAAGAGATTCTGAGATTCCATGAGAATAACGATTATGTCGTACGATTTAGGCTCAGGTTTACGTTTAAAACTATACTTATAGTCTAAAGCTTCAATAAATGTAAAACAAAAAGCTAAAATACAATATTTAGATACAACCGAGCCTCATGGGAACCGCAATTTGTTTCATTAACATCAATTCCTTTCCACGATGAAAATTTTCCTTATCCTATAAGAGACAATACCGAACTTGTTAGTGCACAAAGTTTTTGATTAAAGATCCATCGTTGCGATTTTTGATTCATTTTTTCCTTATTTGGTTTACTAGTATGTTTTCTAATTATTCGTATAATCCAACTGCAAAATGTTTAGAGGTGGGAAATGTGTCGATTGAATTATACTTTTATATTGGTCAATGATCATTTTATGGTTCATCCTGGAATCAAACGATACAGTGGAATGGCAAGAAAACGGTACAAAAAAACAGCTCAAATTATGTTTCAATCGGCCATTAAAAAATTTAGGCAAAGAATGGATATGTGCTGCCCAGAAACGAAAAAATTATGTCCAAAGTTTTAGCTAATTTTTCTCGACTTATATATTATTTCCTCAAAAATATGATTCCACAAGCAAAGCATTTCATATCTTTATTTGTAATATTAGTTAGCCAATACAGCCAAACTGCTTTCATTGCCTTTTGTACCATATTATTTGATCTCAGATCTTGATTTATTTGTGTCGAGACCTTGTCTGCTTACAACTTCGTCCTCAATGAAGATTTGAAATTTGCCAGGTTACATGGCATAGGAAAGGAAGGAAGGATAGAAGAGAAACTATTTAGTAACTACTGACCAGTTGATGAGCAAAAGCAGTTTATAATGCAGTCTCTCGTACAAATCTTTTTGTCTTAACAATTTAATCTTCATTGGTTCTAACTGACGATCACGTTGATAAACTTTCACCACCTCTCGTTAAATTCGAGTTGCGTTTGGATGATAAGACCAACTCCAAATTCGATTTTAAAAAATGGAGCACAGCAGCAGAAAACTGCTCAATTTCTACTGCCACAATAGTGATAGGCTGAACGAAAATAAGCTTTTTTCTCTTATATTGATTGTTATGTATATCACCATGTATTCACTGATAATGAGAAACGTTATCAAAATCATTGTTCGAATTTTTAAAAATTAAAAAGGAATTTAAGATAAAATTTTTTGCAAACAAATGTGTTTTGTATGTATTATTTTGTATGTTTTTATCTTTTATTAATTCATTATTTATTTCTATTTAGTGGAAATTCTAAATTTTTTTTGTACTATATTTATTTAAATCTAAGATTTTGCAATTAAATCTATGATAAATCTTCTTAATTCTGCTAGCAAATTTTTTTTGCTAACAAAAAAGGAATCCAAAATTTTGGAATCTTGAATATAGCGAATATGGGTCGAATACACAGATGGTGCAGTGGTTCATTTCACTATGAAGAATCACAATACCACCAAATACCGCCAAACGCTGATATTTATGTTCACAAAATTTTATTCATTAATATTTATTTGAGAAAATAGTTTTCATATATATTGGACCACTCGCATATTGAACAGTAAAACAGCCAGTAAACAGCAAAGTAACAGCAAATCCCACCTGATCTGCAGCCAGAAAAGTTTTCTTCCGAAGGAAACTATGGAACTTTTGTGGACTACAAAAATGAGGATAAAGACGGAAGTCTGCATCTATTTCATGTTAGTGTTCTGCAGTGGAAAATATGAAGATAACGAAACTGCCAAGAGGACAGACAACTACACATAGTTACGTCCACTCAACTGAACGTCGTCATTTCCATCTGCTTGGCGACATTCCTCACTGTCTAATAGACGAGCCAATACATAACTCGTTATTTGGCAATCTGTGTGGCTAATAACTTCAAACAGGAGGAGAACCAATCAGGACTTTGATTAAATTTGGGGAAAATTTTGGAAAACGTAGCACAAACGATAAAAACGGATAACTTCCCCTCCTCCTGAACCTTGCGTCACACTGGAAGAACTGGAGACTCTCTGGCCAACGCCCGCCGCACGTGGATCTAGCCTAGTAATGAAGTTATAAAAGATGAGACTAATAGACAACTGGGACGAACCTATAAATTCTTATGAGCGCTCTGGCTGAGAGTTGGAATGTGGACGAATTTTCATTGTGGATAATTTTGGGTAGGTCGATTTGGAATAGGGGGAAAAACTTGTATTGGCGGTTAGGAGGGTTCCATTTCCTCAGCAAAAGATTGATGGGTAACCGATGCGGATCTGTGGTCCGGTGGCCCAGTGACATGGGGATGTGATTCAATTAGGTGAAATGGCTTTATTTGGTAGGTGCATATCTGTATGTGGTGATCATCTTGCTAGGTCTCTCGAGAAGTTGTTAATTTTCAGCTACCTTAGGTCGTGCCTTCTCTTCTGGAACTATAGTCTTGTCAGTTGTCCTCCTAATTTTTTTTTGAATCGCCTTCTAGATTGTTTTTGTTTTATTGTCCAAAATTTTTAATGGAATATTCGACGACTTTCAGTTAATAAAACATTAGCCAGTGAGTCGAAGCAAAGATGATATTGGAAGAAAAAAGGAGAGGCAAATGAGGCAAATAAATTAGACTCAATGATGAATTGACATATAATTTATGTTGAGCAAATACTGGCAAAATTGAAATCGTTCGTAGAATGCCACCGATCTTTACGCGGATAATAAGCCCGGTGTTTCGTCTTTTGCCCCCCTCCCCACCTTCTCCCCACGTTCTTGGGTTTTTTATGTCCATTATTAAAATTACGTCGTTATAATATGTTTAGATTCATTTTTATGTAATTTTAGATACCTTGTGATAACCGATAGTAATAACCAGGAAACGAATATGTCAGGCGGACTTGATACGTTTGCACTTCGAGAAGAGGATGTGATGAAGTTTTTAGCTTGTCAAACTCATATAGGAACTGTGAATTGCGATTATCAAATGCAGCAATATGTTTATGATAGGCGACCTGATGATGAGTTTTATCTTTTATTGACAAAATGGATTTTCCAATGTTGGTTGCTTTTTATTGAAGAACTTTTCAAACAGAAATTGTGGAAAATTCTGCATTTCCAAAATCATAAAATGAATATTTTTATTTTTTCGTTGACGGTAAATTAAACTGTTGAATTTTTAGGAACCCACATAATTCACCTTAAAAGAACTTGGGAAAAGTTATTGCTGGCAGCTCGAGCAATAGCTGCTATTGAAAACCCAGCTGATGTGTGCGTTGTATCGGCTCGGCCTTATGCTCAGCGAGCTCTGCTTAAATTTGCTTCTCATACTAATGCCACTCCTATATTTGGCCGTTTTACTCCTGGCTGTTTGACAAATCAAATTCAAAAACAATTCAAGGTTTTTTTTCGTAGTTTTCAAAGGTATTTTGTCAATTGGCAATTTTATAGTTATTTTTTCATTGAAATTTCATTGAAATTTATTTTTCATAAAATTGCTTTAAAATATTTATGCTCTTCATTTCTCAATGCTATGATTATTCATTTCATTAATAGGAACCACGTTTACTAATTATCTCGGATCCACGTGTCGATCATCAAGCTGTCACTGAAGCATCATATGTTGGTGTACCGGTTATCAGCTTTTGTAATACCGATTCTCCACTCAAATTCGTAGATATAGCGATTCCTTGCAACAATAAAGTAATTTTTATAATTTACATTTTAAAATTTAAATTTAAGTTTGTTTTAAATTATTTCATCATTATTATCTGTTTATCATTATTACCATTATTTCATCATTATTTATTATCTGCTTTTCAAATATTTCTAGGGATCGCAGTCGATTGGGTTGATGTGGTGGATACTCGCACGCGAAGTGTTGCTTATGAAAGGTAAAATGACAAGGCAAACAGGATTCATACTCGAAGGCAAAGAAATCATGCCAGATTTATATTTCTATCGCGACCCAGAGGAACAAGAAAAGGAAGAACTTATCGAACCTGTTGAAAAGGAACCATGGGGATCTGTTCCACAAGTTGATACAAAGCTTGATGAGGTTTGGTTTTGCATGTTCATTTCCGGTTGTCATTATCTGGCATACTTTTTTCTTGCTGTTATTGCTCAAGAATAACGTAAGATATCAGTTTTACCATTCTCCATTTTTACATATTATTTTTTTTTAGTACCAGCCAATGGGTACAGAAATTGTGCAAAACAAGCTAGACTTTAGTGCGGTTCCTGAAGTTGGTGACTGGGCACAAGAAACAGCAAAATGGGATTCAAAGGCTCAAGTTGATCCAAGTGGACAAGAATGGGGAGGCACTATGCAGAATTGGTGATTTTTTGATAAAATGGCAACTGTCGTAATTATTTGATCAAAGGAAATGAATTTTTTATAACATTCTTCTTCTGTTGGTTTTTGCTTAGATAATGTGCAAATAAAAACTTTTCGATTGAATATAAAAGAGAAATTTGGATATTATAAAAAGCGTCATTCAAAAGTCGAAGTTCGAGTATTAGTTGTAGTTTGTGCCAATTTTTTGGTGCTTGAGGAGTCGCGGTTTTTGGTTTATTTTCGTCGATTTGTTAATCCGCTTCATAATTCGCCAAATGTGTTTTGATATATTTGGAAATTCTTGGGCGAAAATGTTGTTGTGTGAAAATTCAATTGGTTGACAATTCTTCGTTTTACAGCTTGTATTATTGTATAATCAAGCAGGCAGATCGTTTTGCTGCTGATAGTATCGTCGCGACTTCGATAATGTTTGTAGTCGTGTTTTATTTGACTATGGTCGGCCGTCGAAATGTTTATTATTCCGCTTGTTCATCAAAAATTCTTTTTTGGGTTATTGCTGGTAGTATTTAGGGAACTCTCTATGCGAACTTTAAAATATGAAGCATGGATTTCTGCAGTGCTCTTTCTACGACACTGGCGATCCATGTTCATGCAAAGTTGATTTTAATGAAAATTAATGTATCAAAGAAAAAATTTCTGTAAAGGAAATAGCTAATAGAATAATAGAAAGGAAATAACTGATTCACGTATTCGAAGGAATTTAGTTGTTTAAACAAACTGATGATTTACACTTATCTATTAATCTATTATCTATTAATTTAATTAAATTTGTTGAATTTTCCTTAATAATTTATTAAAATTATAATTATAAAAATAAAAATAATTATTAAAATTATTGAAGTCTTTGAGAAAAATTATTTTTAAATTGAAATAGATTGAACGAATATAAAATAAAATAAATGAACAAATAGATGTTTTTTATGAACTAATTTCACATTAAAGATAAATGATGTTTCATCTTTCTAAATTTACTTTTGTATTTGATTTCACCGGTCGATCTACTTCATCTCGTTTTCCCCCTATGTTTAATTCCGCTTTAGGACCCTCGGAGGGGAAAAGGTGGCGGCTAAGTTCAATAAATCCTCCAGTGAAGTGGCTTTCGCTCGATTTCAGTGGTTTTGCTTTGCGACGTTAATAATTTGACTGAAGACGAATGAAATAATTCTAAAGAAATTAAAGAAAATTATTTCAAACTTTAACGATGATTCTTCACGAACGAAAAAAATGAATCATTAATTGATTCCTGAAAGATTTCAGTGTTTACAATATATTTAGTTTTCTTCGATTCCAGTATTTTTTCCTGATTTTCCTCAATTTTTTAATGATTGTTCACTGACGACGCAATTTGGGAAAATACATTTAAAAGGCGTCTTCTTCTAACGATTAGTTCGCACCATATTCGTTACACCAATTCCATTGGCCACAACGATAAGCGTTATAGTCCAGTGCCACATCTAAATACGGCAAAAAGCACTCGTTTTTCCGCCATCCCAGCCAATATCACTTATCGCCGAGCCACTTGTGTGCTCAAAAGCTCGTTCCTTTGCGTATCTCCTGCGTTATATATATTACCGTTTTCATAAAATTTTTGCATATTTTGAATAAACTTGCATTTTATTTTCTCCTTTCGATTTCAATTTATGCGTGAAATTTTTCCATAATTTGAATAATCGCCAGCAAACACCATCTCCGCTTTGCTTGGCCAACTCCATTGACTGCGAATTTCGCTGATTTCCTTAATTTCCTTTTCGTCGAAGTTATTTGGCGAGTGAAATGCAGGAAATGCAGGTGAGCGAGTATTCAGCATTCATTATAAGTTCGGCTGAAAAATTTGAATATTTCAGTTTCGTTTCAAAAAGAAAGTATTGGAGAAAAGTTGGATTTATTTAAAATTCTATAAAAATAAAATGAAAATGGATTGAATTATAAAAAAAAGATTTATAAATTATAAGTAAATAAATGAATTTTTTAAAGAATAATTTATAATTTTTTGAAAATAATTACGACGGGGCGCTTGTTTTGGTTGATTGCGTGGATTGTGCACTTTGCAGATTAATGATTTGAATAAATTTGATGGTTTGACGACGGTCATTGAATTGGAAAGCGAAATATTGAATCAAACATCGAAATTATTATAATTATAATCATTTCTTCCAATCTCGTGCATGTTCCCTATTTTCCTCTTCTAAAATTCTATAATAAGTAATAAGTGATTCCCCGGCAAAAATTGCTTACTCTCCTTGTAATGCTGATAACTTATCACTTAGTTAGTCAGTAATGAGTGACAAGGCTGTTAATTCGTTCCAAATTCTTAATTATTTTCTTTATTATTTTTGCTAAATAAAATTAATTTTTATAATGTATTATAAAAATATTTTCAGACCCCTCCTCGAATTCAAAGTGGCATTATTTAAATCAAGTTTTTTGACTTATTTTCTCTTCATTTTTAATCGAATGTTCCATCTTTATAAGCAAATTCAAGCATTTCTTATATATATATATATGTATGCATATGCATATACTTATGTACTTATGTATGTATATACTTATGTACTTATATGTGATATAGAGGAGAGTTTGGTTGATTGGCATGTTGCTGGTTGTGTGGCATATTATTTCGACTAAGGCCGAGGCATTATAGGCTCGGTTCCTTTTTCTGAAATTTATAAACTTAGTATAAAAGATGAAATCCGAGTGATGCGGGGGTCCTACTTGTATTTTTATTCTCAGTTGATTTTCTCTGAAAAGCTGTTGTGCTAGCAGTCAATAGAATCAGTGAAAGAAGAAATGCTTTTAAGATGTGAGCAACTCACCTCTAAAGCTCACCCCTCAATAAAACTGGGCGAGTGGTCCCACTCCGAGTAGTTTGTGAGGAATTGAAAAATTATTTCGTTTTTTCTTTTTTGCTATAAACGTGTTCTTCTTCAAACGGAATGGAAAGTTTTTGGCGTTGAATGACGTTAATTGGTGCATAATAATTTCATGCGAATTATTGTGAACGATTCAAGTATTTACAGATTTTCGAATTAGTGCGAAACTTAACAATGGACTCGGAAATTTCAGTAAAAAATTCTTCTTCTTCGGACGCAATTTTTATGCTCGCACCATTTTCATATCAACGAGAAGCTGTTGAATTCTCTTTAACGCCTGAAAAACCGTCACCGCTTCATGCAAAACGAATCGTTGATTCGCATAAGACAAATTCGTTATGCCGCGTTCGAGTTAGTGGAGCCGAAATGTCGGATATATTTCGCGCATTTCGTGGTCGTTTAAATTTATGTTATTGGAGGATCGAGGATAATGATCGAGGTGAATTTTAAAAAGTTGTTTTCAAGTGTATACCTTAAGTATACACCGCATTAAATCGCTGATTCCTATCTAAATCTTTAAAGTAAATAATAATAAGTATAAATAAATAAATGCATAAATTTATTGTATATTGATTCATCCTTGTTGATCAAAACATAAACGAATCCACTCATATAGTCGACGAATCCACAAGTTTTCACAATTATTCCGATGAATATTATTATTAATATTATTATCACTTAACTTTTTCCATAATCGAATTATTTGGTTGATCGCTTTTGATGGCAATATTTTCGAAGTTGGGAAAAAAATAAAGATTTTTTTAAAAATTTTGATGTGAACTTTATCATAAATTTATAAAAAATTAAGTAGGAAATTAAGGCTCTCTATTTTTTGATTGACCTAATTTCGCTGGCTAGTAGGTTAGGAATTTTTGCTCGCGTGTTACTTGGCGATAGAAGCGTAAGTGTTAGTGTTCAGCACCGTCCGGATTTAGAATTACAAATTTATTCTACTTAGAATCAGCGAATTATTTAGTCTCGAGATGACGAAATATTCTGGATAATTTGCTTTTATTTCCTAGAGAAATCAAGGTTCTTATCATAATTTTCCATCAACTGCCTTTATCATTGTCATTTTATCAAATAACCATTAAAAAAATTTAAATTATTTTTGCAAAAAAATTGAGTAAATAATTTTTTCTGAAAGAATCCATTATTTTTCATTTATTAATGAGTTTAGCGCTATAAATAATTGTTAATCATTGTGGCTTAAATCCATTTTCAGTTTGCCTTGATGGCATGGATTTGCTAAATCAAATCGTTATCTATCGCGGCTGTGATGCATCGTTAATTATTAACTATGTAGCTTTACTACGTGAAGTATACTCACATGCAGCAGCAAATTTAAAAGGACAACAGATGCAAGAAGATGAAAGGTAGCAATTCAACGAGAGATTAAACAATGATGAACTGATAGAATCCTGGCAAAATACCTAAATATTATTTTATTAAATTGCTCATTTGACGGTATTTTTGCAATTTTCTGCAGATAGAATGTGCTGATTAGTCTTTTTTTGAGTTCAGATCAATACAATCAATGTGCGTTTAAGGAATTAACCAAATATATATTGGTAAGATCAGTGATGGGCTAAATGCATTTCGGAACCCGAATGTGGCACAACTTTTGACGGAGACTTAATCTGTATTATTAATTGATAGGCATTTCCATTCTGCGTAGTATCTGTGTAGAAAATGTAGATTATTGACAACACTATTACGAGTTAACTCAGTGTGACATTCTAACACCCTTACAATATTCTTCTAACAAACATATTAAAAAATAAAATCTTTGTTTTTTATACATATGAACACAAAAATTTTGGTTAAGATTTGGCAACATTATTTCCAATAATTACCAAAAGTCACGTCTGCTGACTTAGATAATCGTTTCAGACTCGGTCGCTATCATAAGGCTAAACCTATCATTACAATCCATGCAGTAAGAATCCATAGGATTCTACCTCAAGTACTCAGTGATTGTCTCTGAACATAAGGTTATCACAAAATTATTATTACTGAAAAAAGTTGCAGGAAATCAAGTATGACGCTGCATTGGCGAAAAATTAATGAACATTTTATGAAAATAAGATATGCAACAATTGACTGCTGGCCTCGAGGCAATGAAAGTGACCTGTTGGCTATATATGTTTCAATGGCTGTACTTTACTCATTATACAAAGATTTTTGTGATGATGTAAGGAATTTTCGAAATCTTTTTCATTATTATTCTTAACATTCCTTCATTTACTTAATAATTAAATGAAAGCAGTTAAAACTACTACTGCTGGAAAATTAACGTTTCGTCATTATTTAAAGTAACGGAAAGAACATGAAAATCCTAAGTTATGGCCCATATTTTTAATAATTCAAGCCTCTCAGTACTTGAAGAATATGAGTAAATATAAGAAGAATATAAGAATATTCATGTTTAGAAGGTAACTGGCCAGATTTTTTTAATTTTAGGACCTAATAAAGCAGTGTTATGATGCCGCTCAAATTGCCAGAAATTGCGGAAGTCATGGACTAAGCGAAAGCGAATTTTCTGAAGTTCAACAATATTGTGATATCATCGAAAATATTTACTTTATTCGTTCAATTAAAACAATTGGTACTTCTCATCAGGGTGATCGTGGAAAAAAAGAAAATTTAGAGTTTAGCTCTGAGCAAAACAAAACTGCTCCAGCATTTCTTACTGACTATACTTATTTCGCAAGGAATACACAAAAATCGACTAATCACGCTGAACATCAAATGAACCAGAAGGAAGTAAAAGATTTAGGAAGTTCCGATGCGAAGGAAGGTCAAGATTCGGAAAATTTGGAAATGTTGATAAACAAAAATTGTAATCAATTCGAACAATTCGATAATAAATTCGCTAATGAGGAACCGCAAGGCTCAGCAAATCCCGTAGAAATGGATTTCAGACTAGAATCTAAAAAGCCGGAACAGTTGGCAAGTCAAGATTGTCGCCAATACTCTAACAAATTCGAAAAACAACAAAAGCAAACACTTTATGAGAAAACTGAATTTTACAATAATGATGGTGATCTGTCGAATATCAATCAAAATAGTGCTGAAAATCGATCACTGGAAAATCTGAAAGAAATGGTTAATCCTTAAAATTATTTTCTAAAAAACCTGAAAATATATCGAATCAGCTGCCATTTAATGATCGATAAGATCTTTGCATTTTCCTTTTCGAAATTCTGCAAAAAGAAAACAATTTAAATAATCGAAATAATAATTTAAATCAGCGATTAATTTGACAGTTGCAATTTTACGAAATTTACAAAATTATAGAATACTAAAATATATACTAAATATATATACTAAAATATACCTAATTTCAGGTAATTATTGAAGAGTATGCAGCGATCGATCTGTCTTTACCTCGAATTGATTTTGAACATTATCCGACTTTGCCAAAAGAAACAAGAAATCAGTGCATTGAGTTCCAAGAGAATGATAAAATCATAGAAATTGCACCTAGTCGCATGAAGGAACCTATAGAAAAGGACTCTGATGAAATTCTTCGTAAAGTGGCCACAAAAATTAACAAAGAGCCAAACATGCCGAATAAGAAACCAGGAAACGAAAAACTAACGGATCATTTTTTAGAACCGCAAATCATGGGCCAAAAACTGATTGATAATGATCAAAATGTGGAGGCGAAGGTGAAAAGTATAATTGACCAATATGAACAGCCTTTTACTCTTTTTCAGACAAAATTTGAAAATCGCAAGAAATTAAAGTCTGGCGAAATATATAAACGCGATAAATTTGATATAATGAAAGATAAAAGATTTGAAAAATTCGCCAAAATAGGCGAAGATTTGGAAGGAACTAAAAAATTTATGCAAATGAAAGAACGCATATTCAAGGAAAACGTCAATAAATTTAAAGGATTTAAAAACGTGGTGGCATCCAACAAGGGCATTCAAAATATATTCAGTGGAGTCGGACTTCCAGGAACAGGCACTACTAAATATTATATAGAAGAGAACAGCGAGTCGCAGCAGACACCGCTTATTTCAGAAATATTTAATAGAGAAGATGGCCAAATTTTGAGTGAAAAAATTTCATCAACTCTTCAAATTAATAACAAAATAGCGATAATGAAAAGTAAAACATTGGGAATTGTTCGCCCAAACATAATATTGGATACTGGTCAAAATAGCGAAAACAGACTTGTCAGTAGATCTGAACCGAAAAGAGATCTTGAGCTTGCAAATAGCAACGAACATGTTGATATTTCAGAACATTTCCAAAATCCAGAGATTGAAGTGGAAAAATCGCATGGAAATTGTGTAATTCGAACGGAAAATAAGCATGAATATGATCGGGCATCAACTTCAACTGATAGTAAAATGAGGCTAGCATCAGATACCACGGTTTATGATAATTCTATATTTCGGCGAGGATGGCCAGATGCGAAATTTATCAAAAGAATGCTACAATGTAGGGTCTCTGGTGAACCAGAAGTGCAAAGCGTGCAAGTGCAAAGTGTAGATTCAAATACATCCAACGCACCTGTGAATGCAAACAGTACTTCACTTTTTCAAGCCGACATTGCAGATCCATACACGAATAAAACAACTCCCATTTCACCAAATACTTTAGCTAAATTCGATGCTAAATTAGAATTTGAACGACGCTTTGCGAAAAAAACGAGGCGACGAAGCCCTATTAACGCACCTATTATTGTTGCACCTACAACATCTAATAGCACGAATTTAAATTTATCTAAATTTCAAAAAAGCAAGTTTCTCTTGCAATAGCAATAGTTCTCTCTGTCCTTTGGTACTATCAGCAGTAGTAATTATCCTCCTGAAGCGACAGAAACTTATTATGCTTATTATGATTATGCAGCGAACAACAACTGAGAACTCTTAAGATGCCTCAAGCGATTTATCGGTTTTTACTTATTTCTCACATTAATAATTGTGCAAAATTTGTGTTGCATCCTTTATTCTCAGCGAAATGAGAAGGCGCCATTGAATATGTTGTATATACTGTATTTTGCTGAAAACTAATAGTGGAATTAGCCAAACTAGAATTAGTGGATATTGCTAGAAGAGAAATATATTTTGCCATTTTCTCTGTAAAAGGAGAAAAATTCGCAGACTTTTTATTTTTTTGTATTATTTTTAATTAATTTTTGTCGAAAAATATTTCAGTACAAAAATTTTTTTGTATTTTTTTGCGTATAAAATTGTTATATTTCACGCTTTTTCCAGCAATATTTTTAATGGAAATATGATAACAATTTTTTAAAAATTTTGCTATAACTTTTAACTTTTAATTTAACAGTAAAGGAAGCAAATAAACTGTACAATTTGTAAGATCTTCGCGATTAGAATGGTTAAATACAAACTTTAGGAGAAGAACTTTAGGAAGAGGAGGAGAATGGAATAGAATGGTGTTTAAATTCTTCTGCGATTTTATAAATTAGCACTATAGTTCGATAAAAGTGCTCGGGAAATTGGACAGGCATAATGGGAATATAAGGAAGCGGCGATGTTAAGATGGATTTGAAGAGATTAAAGTGGCAAAAAAAGGTTTAAGATGAGGTTTCTTGGTTAAATACTGAAGCGAAATTTAATATAGCAGAGGTTTTAATAGTTTGTGAAGCATATTAAAGAATTTTTACTAAATAAAACAGGATCAAAATTTCGTATTTTAAACCTGTGGCCTTTACTTATCTCAACGCATATCACCACATATATATATACATATTTATGGGATAATAATAGGATAATAAATAGATAAAAAAATGAATTCAATATTTTATTACTGATTACTGATATTGACTGATTGCCAATAATTACTGATAAGATTGTAGTGATAAGAGAACTTGACTAATTTTGCATCAACATACAGTACGCACGAACCATCCTGCTAAAAAATACCATCGTGCCATCAATGTTTGGCCATTTTTGCCCAGGATTCTGCATGCTTGCCAAGCGGACAGGATCTCATATAATTCACCTTTGCTCGAATAAAATTAATTTGCATTAATCAGATATCATCAGATATCCACGTTTGGTCCCCATTGGTTAAACTCTTCGTCACCTCTTCAAGTGGACCTCCTTATACGCTAAGCACATGTTTTTTGGTGTCTTTGGTACGCAAAAAAAATTGTTGTTGTAGAAAGCTTCAGAAAATATGGTTAGAGCACGGCGATTCCTTCTTCCCATATATATATTTTCCTTAAAATTTCTTCGGAACTCCGTTTCAGACGTTTAAATTTCCTGCCACACGACATTTTTTGACTGATAAAATCAATAAGGCTTCCTTGAATATCGAACCTTGACTGTTGACACTCCTTTTTCTTTCTTTGTTATTTCTTCGTCAATAAAATCAAATGAATCAATATCAATATCAATAATTAATCAATAATCGACCAGTAACTATCCAGTATTTTACATCAAAATTCTATTCGTAATGAGCTTCCCGACTGACGCACCATTTATAGAAAATTTGGCTAGAGTTCGGCGATTCCTGCTTCCAATATAAATCTTCCTTAAAGTTTCTTCGGGAATCCTCTCTACGTCTGTATAAGCTTTTAAACTCGTTGCTACGCGGTATTTTTTGACAAAATCACTACATATTCTCGGCATATATATTTTTGCGAAAGGTTTTTTACCCTCAAACTTAAGTGATTAAACCATTTATTTAAAATATTTACACTTGTTAAAACATAAAGAAAGAAGAAATCATAAAATATAATATAAATATAAATATAAAATTATAAAAATACATAAACTGGTGTGGATTCTCGAAGAAAAGAAAATATTCTTTAAGGAAAATATACTTTGGAAATATACTTCGCCGAGCTCCGACCAAGTTTTCGGTATGGCAGGCTAGCATTCTACCATCGAACTACCGACGACATATATCATGAAATATTGAGAAATCCTATAAACTGGTGTTGTGTTCCCGAAGAAACTTAAAATCCTATAAAATATATATAAAAACATAAAGAAAGAAATCATAAAATACCAACAAACCCAATAAACTAGTGCGGCATGTGTACCCGAATGGCAAATCTATGGGAAATGGACCAGGCACTCGGTAGCACCAATACAAGAATGACGACGACGACGATCTCGACGTTCTTGTCCAACGCTCCTTAGATCGCCATCCGATTCCTCACTTTCTCTTTCCCATTCCCAACTTTCCTTTCCCCATAATAACCTCTTGGGAACTTACATAGTTCTGAGCGGAGGGAAAATTCATCTTTATCTTCCATTCTCTCAGAATGGAAGATTCTTTCTTGTATCTCTTACTCATGGGGTACTATTGTTCTGCAATATATTCTATCTTTTCCAACTTACCTTTCTTACTTTTTCAGTACTCTCGGAAAGAGATAGGCAGTAGGCGCGACGCAGATGATCTGCCTGTTATCTTCGACATTCGCCGACAATTAGTCAAAGCGATTTCGGGCCTATAAGGTGCCCATTCAGGCGTTGTGTTGAGTCTTGGAAGCACTTCCTGCTCGTCATGGCCAAGTCGAACTGGCCTAAGCCAGTAGTTATGCGAGCTGTTAGAAGAAGGAAAATTTTAAGAGCCACAAAATTCGAAATCGTTTCGTTGGCAAACATTTTTTGAAAAATTTTAATTTAAATTTTTCTTTATCAACAATTTCGATTTAACATTTTCTAGAACAAATGAAAAAAGTATTTTCATTCGCGCAATTTTCCTTAGAATTCTCCTCATTTTTTCATTTTTTACAAAACGATTATAATAATTCGGATTCGCTCGTTCTCGTCATCAAATTTTATTTGCTTAGGAGCGATCCTCTGCGATGTCTCAAAAAACAACGCTCACCGCCAGTTGTTAACAGTCTGCGTGAAACGATCCCGAAAAAAACTTGAACTATGGTGCTCGGATTTCAGCTATTAAGGAGAATAAAAATATTGTGCTGTAATAAACGAAATGCTTTCTCTGTTTGACTGGCGTTGCAGTTTCGTCGTTTGGGGTCTTTGAGTCTTTTTGAGGGTGAGTCTTGAGTCTCAGGTTTGGGGCCACTGTTGCAGCATATTTTGCATTAAACAGAGCTCTGCCAGTGCTGCTGACGATGACGGAGACAGCGAACTTACTTTTCGTATTTAAAATAGTCAGAAAAAATTTATTATTCGTTCATTTAAAGGTTCTAAAATGGTGCGAAGGTGGAAGTTAGCGTTGCTTTGCCTTAATACCGCCAAACATTTATTTCTCTGAAGAACACCTCCACTTCTTATTCGAATAGTTCCACTGTTTTGCAGGATTAAAGCAGAGAGTCACTTTCTTATAGAACGATGAGCGAAGAAGAAAAGAAGAATGGAATGAAATTGGCTGAAACGGATGAGCGAAAGAAATTGTCAAAAAAGGAATTAAACAAATTAGCAAAGCAACAGAAAAAGGCCGAAAAAAAACTCGAAGTAATTTTTAATATTTACTAATGTTTAATATTCAATTTTTTAACATTGATTTATTCATTTTTGTTTTAATATTTATTTTTAATATTTAATTATTATTTCGAATATTTTTGGTTTATTTTTAACATTTACTTTTTAATGTAAATTTTTTGTTTATCAATTTTTTGCCAATATTTTTCATTTTTTTGTTGTTAAAAAATTATTTTATATTAATTGCGTTCATTTTTTTTAATTTAATTTGAATTTATTTGATTAGAGAAAAACAAATAAACGAAAAACATTTATCGTTTAAAACAAATTTTATTTAATTTGACAAATTCTTTTTGGTGTTTTGAAGAGTGCTTTTTCCGAGGAATTCGGCTAAATTATTTGCATTGATTTCTAAAGGTTTTTTCCAATAAAAATACCAAAAAATAATTTATTGATTAAAAATGTTAACAAAAATGAAGTTGACGATGCCAAAAATGTTGTTGATATGAAATTAAGGAAATTCATTCGCATAAAGAAAAAAGTTTTGAGTTTAGAATTTAATAGACTCGTTGAAGGAAGGGAATATTAGGTAAGAATTGCCAACAGTCTTTTTTTTCAGAATGCTCTTGTCACAAACAATTTACTTGGCGAACAAGAAAATGAAGATATCTCTGCTGGTTTGTACGGTTCCTACGGTTTGGTTCAGTCAAAAGAAAAAAAAATGATCAATTTTATTGATGTCGACCAACTCACTCCTAGCTTAGCAGAAAATGAGGTTTTTTTTACGATAAATTTACCATTTATTTAATTTATCTCGTTTTACAAGCTCTTGCATGTAGAACTATTCCAGAACTTTTGCTTTTTAGTTTAAAGCTTACCATTATTTTTGTAATTATAATTATAATTATAAATATAATAATTATAATTATAAATATAATTATAATTATAATTATAAATATAAGGGAGACTAAAGTGGAAAATGAGTAGGTTTGGATTCGTGGACGTCTTCATACGTCACGTATCACGTCAAAAGCTTGCTTTTTAATAATACGTCAACGTGTGCATAGCATACAAGGTGTTGTATACCTATCGGAGAAAATTAGCAAACAAATGGTCAAATTTGCATCGAACATCACAAAGGTTGTTTTTATTAAAGTATTTCTATTTATAAATAAAAATAAAAATAAATATAAATATAAATAAATATAATATAAATATATAAATAATTTATAATAAATATAAATAAAAGGTTTTTTGCAAATTTTATTGTAATTTTTTTATTCAGACATAATATTGATTTTGTCAGGAATCTATCATTGATGTTTGCGGTATATTAAAAGTTAGCGATCAAGATATTGAAAGATGTAAATGCACGCAAAAAGACGTGGAATTGCAAGTAACGCAAATATTTGTGGTGAGTGCGGCTGAGCCACGATTACCCTTACAAATTGAGGACGCCGCTCGTTCACGTGCTGATGAAACTGATTTGTCAGTTGTAAATTTGGACACAAGATTGGATAATAGGTAAAGATTATTGATAATAGATAACAGGTTGAGAAATTTTTCAAACTTTATTTCAAACTATATCGCTTTTATCTAATATTTGTTTCTTTTTACTGAATAAATTATCAATCGCAGAGTGCTCGACCTTCGTACGCAGACGAATCATGCAATTTTCCGAATTCAGGATGGTATTTGTGACCTTTTTCGATCTACATTACATCAGCGTGGTTTCACTGAGATTCATACTCCTAAGATTATATCAGCTGCCAGTGAAGGTGGAGCAAATGTTTTCGAAGTAAAATTTCCATTTTTAAAGATAGAATTGATGATTCAGTCTTAAATTTCCCATTGATTTAACCATATAATAAAAGATTGCATAAAAATTACTTCTAATTAAATTATTTATCATTCAAATTTATATTACATTCATTCGAAATTTGGATATGGCACTTAAATTTTGTTTTATTTTATTTCAGGTAACATACTTCAAAGGCTCTGCTTATCTGGCCCAGTCGCCTCAGCTTTACAAGCAAATGGCTATTGCAGCAGATTTTAATAAGGTTTTTTCTTTTCTTAAATATTTATTTATGATATTTATGATAGTGTGAACGATTTTCTTTTTCAGGTATTCACGATAGGTGCTGTTTTTCGTGCGGAAGATAGTAATACTCATAGGCATTTAACTGAATTTGTTGGTCTTGACGTAGAAATGGCATTTAAATTTCATTACCATGAGGTAAAGTTCTTGTATTTACGGCTGCATCGCATATATTTTTCCCTCATATTTTGAATATATAAATTATTTCCCAGACGAAAAATCTATTTTAAGGTTGTCGAAACGATTGGAGCAATGTTAATTGATATTTTCAAAGGATTACAAGCAAAATTCCAACATGAGATTGAAACGGTCGCGAAACAATATCCTTGTGAACCTTTTCAGTTTGTTCAGCCAGCTTTAATTTTGAAGTACGAATTTCTATGAGAAAATGTAATGAAAATATTATTTGTTGATTTTTTGAAGTATATTTCTTTTGCCTAGGAACTGATGCTTAAGATTTTTAGATATCCTGATGCTATTAGACTGTTACGAGAACACAATGTCGAGATTGGAGATGAAGAAGATTTGAGTACACCAGTCGAGAAATTTTTAGGAAAATTGGTTAAGGAAAAATATAAGACTGATTTCTACATTCTTGATAAATATCCGCTTGCAGTTCGTCCTTTCTATACTATGCCGGATCCCGATAATCCACGTTATTCGAACAGCTATGATATGTTCATGAGAGGTTAATAGAAATAGAAATTATCAAGATTATTTAAATTTCGAAATTTTATGGTGATTTTGTGGAAATTGATTATTGGTGGTGAACTGGTTATTAAATGAATGATTCATAAATGATTGTAGGTGAAGAAATATTATCTGGTGCTCAACGAATTCATGATCCTGTTTTGTTGACTGAAAGAGCAGTGCTTCATAAGATCGATTTAGAAAAAATAAAAGCTTATGTTGATTCTTTCAAATACGGTTGTCCACCTCATGCAGGAGGTGGTATCGGTAAGAAAAATCGAATATTTTCATATCCAATTATTTTTTTGCGATTATCGTCATTGAACGAAAATTTGCGCTTATTTGTATAGGGTTTAATAAAAATTTTTAGGCCTGGAGCGTGTAACGATGTTGTTTCTTGGTCTTGGAAACGTCCGTCTTGCATCTTTATTCCCTCGTGATCCGAAACGTATTACTCCTTAAAGAATTTTTTTAATTATTTTTCCAAATTCCTGTTATTTATTCACCATTTTTTATTTTAAATGTTTTTATTGTTTTTGAACTGTCCAAAAAGTGTGGTTTTTATTATATCGCTGATTTTCCTGCCTTTTAAAGTTTTGTTGTTTGTTACTTTTTATAGGCATTAAAAATATAATTTAAGTAAACTTGAGTAAAAACAAAATTTTCTTGTTACTAAATCTCTTTCATTAATAATGAAACGCAAATAACTGTTGTAAATCCTTGTCCATCTCTAGTCATCCTCACTCTTAATCGTATTTTAAATTTGCTAATCCGACAATTCTTTTTACACAGGAGTCCAAATTTTGCGCTATTCTGACGTCGTAATAAAACCATTCTTCAAAGTCCTTAAGATATGATAAGATATGCAGCTGTAATTTTTATATCAGAATTAATGCGACAGAAAATAAATAATTTCGTTCATATAATTCATATTTTGAAGAACTATAGCAAAAATTGGTTTCTGATTTATTGTTTAATTAACGTTATAGGGAAAGAAAGCCTTTTCAGTTATATACATGATAGGTAAGGTAATGCACAAACAATTTCCTTTTTTTGTTAGCAAAATTCCTAATCAAAAACAAAAGCCTTGTCAGAACCTCGCGGGACACGAGGCTGCAACAACTACTTAAATAGCCTATTCAGTAGAAGATTTATATGGTTTTATGAATAATTTTAGTTTTAAAACCAAGTAATGGTGGTGCACTTTATTTTTCCAACAGCCTACCACTGCTTAGGCCAACCTCATTTTCCCGAAGAAAGGTGTTTCTAAGCCTCTCGTTCCAATATTGCAGAAGCCATTGTGAAGTTTTTTCCTCTAGTCAATGGTTAGACCGGAAAGGTTATTTGAAACTGTGTTGCTTTAAGAAAATGCTGACAAGACACGTGAACAATTATTAATTTGGGTATTCACTCGGTCATAACAGTTATTCAGATTATCAATTGTGTGAAGGTGAATTCTAAAGAATGGAAATGGCGCACTCCAGATCGCACGTGGTACGTTAAAAAATAAGTCGTTTCGTGTTGATAAATATTTCCGCAAATTTTGAAAAATAAAAAGAATGAATGGATTACTCCCTGAAATGCTTTTAATTGCTTTCGTTCGCTCTAAATTCATTAATTTTTTATTTTTACAAAAATAGTGACAAAAAAACTGGAATTCGAACCATGGAAAATGCATGCAAACAATAAATTATATGCATCAACAAAATCTTTCCAAATAATTTTCTTCAATTATTTATTTAAATTAATAGAAAAAAGCTTTTCTCTTAATTTTTAGTTATTATAGATTGCAAGCAAAATAGCCGAATGGGTAAAAGTTCAGGTTAAGGAAAGTTTATCGTCTTAAGGGCTCCTGAAAAGTCGTTAAATAATTTAGGTGGCGCGGCGATCCATTTGTTTTTCTATCACCAAATACTTTCCTTTCTGGTTGAATGAACCAGAGGAACTTAACCTGACCAGGAATGGTGATAGATAATCAATTATTTCATTTATTATAACTGACAGCATAATTCCAAAAAAAAGAAAGTTCGAATGCGATTATTCCGATGCGCGGTATTTTGCGTTAACGATCAATTGCCCGACGAGCAATTTTCACAAAATATCCATCCCTAAATATCCCCTTTGGCACTTATTTATTTATTGGCCTGCATATAAGTGTCGAAGCAATGCTAAGCAATGACGAGCAACTCTCAGCAGTTATGAATCGCTTGTAGTTGGTTGAAATTGCCTTGTTGAATGGAAGCAAAAATTTAAAATTAAAGCATTAAAATTATATACAATGCCACAGTTAAAACAATACTGATCTTCAAAGTCTTCAACTTTTTCTGAATCCGATTCTTATCGCAGCGAAATTCACAGTCAAGGTAATAGTTTTCTTAAATCGCCGAGTTTACTCTTTGCAAGAAAAAACAAATTTCTCTCAAAAAGTGAGGAAATTCATTTCGACGCAATCTCGGTGGCGAATTTCTCATTCTCCATGAGATGTACTTCACTGACATTGGTTTTTAAATAAATTGCTAAGGCACCTTAGGTTCCTTCGCCTCCGTGCATTGTTTTTTTCGGTGCGTTGTTCTTCTTGGTTGAATGCCTTGAATGTGTTTACCTTCGCTAATATACTGTATAAATATACATCTAAAATCTTTATTTCCGCGTTTGTGAGAGTTAAAGAACGAGTTTTTCGGTCTGTCGTTAAACTTTTTTAAATAGTTTTTTGTACCGCCACCAACTTTGTTGTGTTGCCTTAGTGAAAAGCAATTAAAATAATGAAATTCCAAGTTCTTTAAAATTTAGCGGTGATTTAAAAATATGATTTTTTCTTTTGAAACTCGATTTAAAAGCGTTATTCACTGGTTTTATAAGCGGCACCAGATAGCCAGCGAAGTTAGCCCAATTGGAAATGGAGAGCCATTTATTTCCTTACTTATTTACTATACTTAATTTGTATGTTAGAATTGCTTTAAACCAATTATAAATTGTTTCAGCAGCAGATTTTCTCAAATAAATTTCCTTAAAATAATATTTTGAAGGCAAAAAAATGATAAAAAAATTTATGTAAGTTTACTGATATATTTTTTCATTAATTGTTTATAAAGAAATATATTTGCAAAAAAACTTTTTTATTGCAAAAATAGCAAAAAATTTTTCACATTTTCTGAATTCATTTCATACAATTTATTAAAAAAAATGAAAAAATGAAATCGAAGAAAAAGTAATTTCTAGGCTTATGTCGTTCGTAATTGCTAATGTAATGAGTCAAAATTTCAATCACAGTATCAATGGCGTTCAGTGTACAATAATGGTTAGTGGAAATGCGAACTAAAATTTTACGGGCAAAATCCAGAAAACTAATCATCCCGAACTTCCTTTTTAAGCAGTTCTTTAAAATCATTCCTTTATTTCTTATGAATTTAACATTTTGGTACCAATTCAAATAGAAATTATTTATAAGGACGAAGATTTATATCTTAACGGGCGATTCGTTCGAAAACTTGCGCCAGAGGAGAAGGAAGCATTAAGAATTTATAATGAAAATGTTGGCGATTGGTTGAAACAACAGCAGGAACAAATTAATGAAGTTAGTAGTCTTTGTTCGTACTATTTACGTGTTGTTCGACCTTATTTGTTTCTTCCTTCAAGTACTTATTTAGAAGAAATTAAAATTTTTTTAACAATTTAACATAAAACAACAATTTAAAAGGTACTTGCAGAGCCTTTTTTCCGAATTGATAAACAATCTATTTATTTTTTTTTTTGCGATTACAGTAAGTTCATTTCTTTATTCGTTAATTCTCCATAAAAATACGAGGAGATAGGAATTATAGTTACAATTACACTAACAAATATTGGTGATTTTCTGAATATAGCAGATATTTCCTAGGAAGTGAATCAAAAAATGCTTCAACTTCAAGAGAATTTGAATTTTTGGCCATTTCAAGAGTCGTATGATAGATTTCGTCGACATGCAACGAGAACGCCTCGACGTGCTGGTTTCCATTTTCCAAAATTCCCTGACATTTGTCATGTTTGATATTCTGTTTATTAAATGAACATTTTAAAACTATTGGGAAATTTGATTCGTTTAATTTTTTGAATATTTTAGACTGAATTAATAAATAAATAATAATAAACTGGATAAATTCCACTTATATTTCAATCTATTTCATTTGTGGTATTTTTACAATATTTACTTTGCTTTATTATTTTTATTATTTTTTTTATTATTTATACTTTATTTATTATTATTATAATTTATTTATTATTTTTTATTATTTATTTTGTTATTTTTTTATTATTTGCTTTATTATTTATAAGTAAGTCTATAAATTAAAGTTCCATTAAACATTTGCATGATATCTGATTTATATCTGATTATATCTGATTTTACGAGAATTTTTTGGCGATTTTTTAAAATTATTTTTATTATTTTTATATTGGTTATATCATGGTGACATATAAATGCGAAAATTCTTCTTATGCATACTAATTTGACTTGACTGATACAATAGTCATTAGGGTAAAGGTAGCGCTTCAAAACCTAGGATCCAGTGCTATGAAATCGATGGACACCGCTTATTTTTTCTATAAATCAACGACTGGGCTTTCAAGTCTAAGATTTAAAATCTTTTTTACCATATAAAGCCACCAGACTATCCATTAGTATTTCTCTCAACTCTTTTTGATGCAATCCATGAGGTTTACAAAGCAAGAAAATATGCAAAAATTCCTAATTTCTGGACGACAGAAATTATGATCAAACCAACATGTCCCGTGACGATACTATCGATACTATCAAATAACTTCTCTTATCGAATTCTGTAATCTCTTATCGAATTTGTCCATGATAAATTCAAATATTTTGGTAGGCGATACAATAATAAAAACAATTTGCTTAAGTTTATAAAAACAATTTATATCAACGATTTTACTGAATATATTAGTCAAAGACATGTTTTTAAATTTTTTTAAGTGTAAAAAACTTTATTGCACTCAATTTATTACAAAAAAAATTTTTTTCGCTACCATTTGCAAAAAAAATCTAAATTGTTAGAAATAGAAATTTTCTAAATCCAATGCGATGTATTTATGAGGAAAACCAGTCAAAGCAGTGGCCTTCCATTAATAATAACGAATAATGGATAACATAACGAAAAATGACAAAAGAAAATAAAAGTTCGATCATAACCGATTAAGGATAAATTTGTACTAAATATTATTACAGATGATTCTACCAAATTTATTTTTAAAACTGTATAACTGAATAATGGTCGCACAAATTCGTTTATTACATTCGACGGCAAATCTTTCAAAAATGCGGGTAATGCTGGACGACCTATTACTATTCACCAACAATTTCATCGTTAAATTGATTTCAAATTTAAATTTCGTGATCAAATTACCAGAGTTGATAAGTCATTAAGGTCTACTTCTTTTATTAGCATTTGGTACCATAATTTTTGCATGGTTTCCAATACTCCAATACAATATTCCTCTTAAACGAAAGGGTACAGTACTTCGTGCAATCGAGATTTGTACCATCTTGTTTGATTCTAGACTTTAATAAGAAATGTTTGTTTAAGCTTGAATGACCTATCCCTATGGGAAGTTGCTTATAAATTTTTTCTTCGATTTTTTTATACAATTTCCAATTTAGCTCATTCTTAATGTTTGGGTTAATCGAAATCGAAAGATGCATCAGTAGTTGGCACTGAGTTGGCAACGATAAGGAATGTGAAAGTTTGAAGCGGACCGAAAATAAAAAGTAATACTCATCATAAATAGAAAAAATTCAAAGAATGAAGAAAAAAGGAGAATTAGAAAGAAAATTTGGAGAAAAACTTCGAAAACTTATTGATTTGAAGAGAAATTACGTCAAATTTCTTGGTTATAGCGAGTGTAAAACAAAAATTACTGCTAGGTTGATGATGGCTGATAATCCTCTTCCCAAAATATGGGAAAAACTATTGCGTTTGGGTTTCCAGAGGTATTCAAGAGGTTCTCTTGATGATGAACATTGCAATAGATTTATGCCAATTCGATGAAACGGTTATTAATTTTTCTGAGCCACTAATTTCACATTCATCTATAATTTTCGTCTAAAAGAATTTATCAGTTCTAGAATTTATCTTGGTTTGGTTGAATCCCTTCTCACTGAGGCGTTAGACCGAGCCTAATTCGGCTTACAGCCACCAGTTACAAAGAAACTCCAGCATCATGCGGATTTCACTCTAATAACAGGTTTGTTGCCACCAGTGCTCAGAAATCGCCTTACTCGAAGCCATATACCACTCTGCATCCCCTCTCTCCCCCTTTGCCATGATTTATGTAGGCGTCTATTTGCTGGAATAATAATTCCTCGATTTACGAAGCAAATTCAAAAAATCATCGATAAATTACGAATCTATGTCGATCTAAAATTTCACTGTAGAAAGAAATAAAATAAATAATCGAATTATTCACATAAAAACAAAAAATTACATGCAAAATATTGATAGGAAACGGACTATCGAACCAATCATCCGTAGTTCATTTAAAACGAAAGTTTTACTAAATGTGTGAATCTATCGTTGTTTTGGAAAAAATTTCAGCGATTTCGAAATTTTAGAAGAAAATTATAAACTGCAATTGTGCGTATTTTAAATAGAATTGATGAAAAATAATTTGCACAATTTAAGCTATTTAGTGAATTCAAAATGATAGTTTCCTATCGTTTTAGAATAGTAAACCATCTCAATACACGAGGAACAACTTAAGTGGTACTGTGGAACTCGCAAATAGCTATATTGGTATCGAGAAACAGAGATTAGAAATCCAATTATTTATTTTTGCTCTATTATTTATTATTTACTCGTTTTTTGCTTCAATAAGAAAAAAATTTAAAAGATTGAATGACAAAATTCGATACGATTTTTCTCGAAGTTGCAGGAAGGATATGAAGGGAATTTTTTTGGGTTTCAGAAAAGTTATGCAATAAGATTCAAGAGATGTGAAAACAGTACAGTATATAGAGTACAGTATATAAAGTTTGAGGTTTTAAGTTTGGGAAATATAATGAGACTGAGGAAATGTTTAAGGGATTAGGAAGTTTGGGAGTGGTATGGAAACTGGATTGTTGAAGCCAGATTTCAAGAGATTATTATCGAAGCATAGGATTAGTACAAGAATATGATAGAATTTTAACAGTTTTTTGGAAAAATATGAGTTATTTCTTAGAAAGAACAATGGAAGATGCCATTTCAGGAAGAGCAAGAAATTTGACACAGCGGATAAAATATCCATTTTCATTAATTCAACTATTGAGAACAGACTTGAGAAATATCTAGGATCCAATTCTCGACCAAATGATCAGAAAGAAGGCGACTGAAAGAAGACGATCAAAATTCTTATGCAATTCGGCGATTGAGGGAGAATTTTCGTAAGTTTAGAGTAGAGTAGATGAATAGAGTACTCATCAAACTGCATTATCCGTTGGTTCGATGCATCCACAATTCCACAATATATAATAATTTTAACTTTCCCTAATATAAATTACCATATTTAATGGTAAATTTAAAAAGTGAGCAAAAATATTATAGATTCTACGTTCGAATTAGGCGATTCGCGATTTTGTTAATTTTGAGCTGCTTTGCTGACTTTGCAAATATTTACGATTTTTCATAATTATTTTGTTAGTTATTGTATAGGTGAAATAATATTAATATGTTTACGAATATTTTTGGTTGGGCTGACTGACTATTGCCAACTCATAGTTCCTTCATATTAGATTTATGATTATAGTGATTATAGTCCTCCATTATTAATAGCCTTATTCGCTATATAAATAATAAATAAAAGAGTTAAGTAAAGTGGTTTTTGAAATTCGAATCTAAAATAGGCATATAATATATATTAATGTTTTAGTTCTTAAGTAGATTATTGGTTTTAATACCAAATTTTAAATTTCAATTAATATTTCATTGAACTTTCTTGCAAAAGATATCCAAAATGAATAAAATTTTCACCACGCTTTTCATTGGCCTTTAAAGGTGAGCAAAATTAACGCAGTGGTCGTCGAGTGTTATGGTTGCTTCGATTCGCGTTGAGCATTTTAGATCCGATTCTGCTCCGACAGGAGTGAACCGAAAATTTGCTGGCGACGAGCCTTTCGCGAAATGACTCCTTAGCAAAAATTTCTAACAGCCAATCGAGCTAACTTAACCGGAAATCGCCAATTCGCTTGTAATTCGGTGCGACTAACTGACAAATTAGAAATTAAAGCGGTTGAAAATTTACAAGGGTCACAAGTAGTTTTTACGCCATCATGACTGGTGCAAAAATTTTCGAATATTTCGCTAACTGCAACAGAGAAAAGTCTCTTTATTTTGTTATTTATTTGTTTTTTTTTTGAAAACTGAACAATTTCAGTAATTTCAGGGTTCCAAGTCTCAAAATTTTCTGATATTTTTTCCTAAATTATTCTATGAGATTGAATTAGCCATTTGCAATGCAATAAGTGTGTTATGGTGATTTGCAAACTAATTTCAGTTCGAACTATTCAAGCGAATTTTTTTTAAAAAATACAAATACAATTATTTTGGAAAAAATGAAAACAATGAGAAAGTTTTCGTAAGTTTACTTTGTTAAAAACATTTTCTGCTTGCAAAAATCTTTGCAAATTTACTGCAAGGAAATTTTGTTATTGTAGATGTTTTATTTTCGTATATTTTAACCGATAAAGGAATTTTTAGGTTAATATTGATTGTTATCAGTAATGCACTTCTTATAACCACTCAAAATTACAATGGGAATGATTGCTCAGTAATGGTAAGCGGGGTTTCTCTATTGATAAAATCCGTTCTAATATGAGCGAATCATCTCGGTCTTTTTTATTTACGCATTCGATCTTACTTATTGAAACGGTTCTTTAAAATAAATTTCTTATTCTTTCATGGTCCATTTCTGACTTTAACTTGGATTTGTTTCTTGACCTTTCTTTATTTTTTTTTACTTTATCTGCCATTCGTTTCACCCATATTACTTATAAATTTATAAAAAAGGCGGAAGGTTTTTTTCATTCCAAAATTCTCAAAAATTCTTCCCCGATCAATAAATAAAGGCTTGAAAAAATTTGATTATTAGGGCGACGATTTATATATTAATGGAAAATTCGTTCGAAAACTAACCGCAGAAGACAAGGAAGAATTGAGAATTTACAACGAGAAAGTTGCGGAATGGTCGCGCCAACTAAATCAGCAAATTAATGAGGTTGGTTTTTGTTCGAGCTGTTGCTAATTATGCAAACGCCATAGGTAAAAGCATGAACCATTCACTGATTACGAGAACTAATTCATCGTCGCTTCATTCATGCAACCTTTTTTCTATAAGAAATTTAATAAATTAGTGTGCAATTTTTCTTAGTAAATCTCCTTCAAATTAACAATCGACCTTATTTTTCTATTTTTAAATTCATTATTCCCCACTGAACAATAACTCTACACTCGTCAAGTGAGATTTCAGTAGGACCACGAGGAACGGTCGATTAGTCCATATCAAAATTTTTTCCGAAATTTTTCATTAATTTAAAAATGAAAAGTAAGACTCAAAAAGAACTTTCTTCATAATTATGCAATCGTTTCAGGAAGTAAATCAGAACATACAACAAGCTCAAGAAGATCAAAGCAAAATATTCGGTCCAGAAGGAACCATGCAAAAAACTGATATTTCGGCATTTCAAGAGCAAAGTGCTAGATATCGTCGGCACGCCACAAGACAGCGTCGCTGGGATAGCAATCCTTTCCCGAAATTCCCTAATATTTGCCATGCTTAACATTCTGTTAAGTAAATGTGATAATGAAAACTTCGTAAAAAATAAATATTTGCATGACACTTTGAATGAAAAATTTTTAATCTACTTTACATAATTTCTCAATTATTTTTTGAATATTTTTATGATAATTGCGCTATTTTTCACTTAAAAAGAACAAAAAAGCTGTGGAAATCATTTTAAATGAACAAAAATCAGCAAATTCTCGATGTTAATTCTCGAATGAAATGACTGAAAACGAATCGAAAAATTGAATTAATTTTTTATCGAAATAATGTGGATTTATTGATAATATCAGTTCCAAAATTACCGAATTTTTACCAGAAATCTGTGGTTAATCCAGGTGAAACCTAACATATTTCTCGATAAATGCAAGTAAAAATTAAATCTATGAAGATAATTATATCAGCTTATCACAATATGTAAATTAAGCAACATAATAACATTTTTTTATTATATTAATCAATTCGAACCACTTTTTTTATGTAATTCTAATAAGTAAAAAATAACATTCATTATTATTTTTTATCCTTGCAGCCTTCATAGAAACTTGAAATTTAGTAGTACCACTGCCATTACTGTTCTAAAGAATAATAACAATAAAAAACCTGTTTTAAATTCCGAGTATCGAGATTTTGCTCGAATTTCTTCTATGATGTACGATTTATAACAACTTCATCCCTCATCCAACGCATCTTTTATCGGTTTATCCAACTGTGTACACTCATAGCTAAAACATTTTTCGCCTTATTTATTTTTAACGTTTTTTATTGTTTTATTCTCATTCGTCCTCTTTTCTTTCAAAACCATTCTCTAAATTATAATCAATGAATTATCATTTATTAATTTTTTTCAAATGTGATCATGTTGGTTCTTTCTTTTTCTATTAGCAAAAAATAAACGAACAATTCAAAAGGCAATTAAAAGAATACAAAAGGAGAACCACCGTGTGGAACCATTTTGCGAGCAAAGTCATATTTCGTTTGGCGAAAGAAGGCTAATAGTATTCGCATATGCTTAAGGCTAACTAGTCGCATGTGCTTACATCCTTATATCCCGTAATTCCAGCGAAATTTTCAATTTTTAAAATTTATAAAATATTATAGCTTATGATTTAAATCAAAAGAAATTTCGAATATAATTATCAATTATCAATCTTAGTACTATGAAATATTAAAAAATAAAATATTAATATTAGCCAATATTAAACGTAAATAAACAAACAAGCAATGCATCTCTTTTGGCCTTTCGTTTTGCATAGTAAATATTAAATTTTTAGCAAAATTCCTTGAAATTTATTAAAATATTTTCACTACGAATGATAGTAAAATGGGAATAATAAATATAGGAAGTAGCTATGCACTTAATTCATACCAGTTGACGAGAATAAGCACCATTATAAAGGTGGATATAGTCACAAGGTTCACTTGCAATCAAGCGCATAGCGAAATAATAAAATGGAGTCAGCCCAACCAGAAATGGTGAGTTTTTTTTGGAAAAAAACGTTTATCTAAAAGTTTTTTCAAATAATTTTTTAATTTCTAAAAAAAAATAAGAGTTTTTTGCCACAGAAATGAAAGAAAATAAAAAAAATGCAAATTTTCAATAGTCGGCCAAGATTTGTTTGGGAATTAGTGGTTGGTACTAAGCATTCCAAATTAAGTTTGCTTCACTGGCTATTGGCAAGAAAATTGTGCCACAGAATCGTTAATATAGAAATACAGATGGATTGCCAATACAACACAGTCACAGATTTTTTAACGAAATGTTTGATTCGGAAACAGGAGTGGGACCACTTATTATCAACACGATAATCTGAGCTGCAGATTCCACTGTCCTGTTTCCTATTTATAATTTTATAATAATATATGCTAATTTCTTTAAAATTTAATCGATGCATATTTGTCCTATTTGTGGTTAACTAGTTATGTAGCATAATTTTGATGTTATAGGCTACTCATCTTTTTTTTTAAAGAATTTTCACCATTACTGATTAAACTCGCTGCACTGGCTTCTTGCATTAGACAAATAGTCCCTTGGCGATAGAAATAGGTAAGTCGCCAGCATCACCCGGATTTTTGAACAAGTTTATTCCTGCAGGTAATAGAACCTTAGTATCGGCGCTCTGAATTGAACAATAGCCCACTAAGCCATCCATCCCCAGGCTACTCATCTATACCTATTTGTTGATTAAAATTTTTGCCAAATAATTCCCATATAAAGATCAATTAAACGAGAAAGATCACAAATCATTTATTCAAATGTTGTGCACTGAACAAAGAATTTAGAATGTGGAAAATACACAGTAAAATTATAAATAAAAAATTTTGGCTTTTTGGCTTTTCCCTAATCGAATCCTCGTTGTCGCCATATTTCAGCCAAAATTAATGAAATCTCCACGAATGAATTTTAATTTATTATTGATTTTATTAATTTATATTTTTAAAACTTACGTTTTATTGGTTTTAAATAAATCGGCTTTCCGTTCGTCGTTTCATTTTACTGGTTATTGCTCGGTTTTTGCGTGAAATATTCTCATGAAATATTTTTACGTGAAATTATCGTACGTTGTAGTGCATATATAAATGCACTATTTACAGTTGTTGCTTATAGCATAGCTATAGTTATAGTTCGTTCTATCACATTATATTATTCGTTATTATTATTATTGATATTATTATTAATATTTTGTTTTATTTTACTGTTTATTATTATTATCAGTCTCCCATCGTTAGTAGGAAATATATAGGAAATTTATTTGAAATATACCAGTCAAGCAAGTCAAGTAAAAAATCATTAGTCACTTTACAGTAATATACAGTTTTCTCTACAGTTTTTTCGATTCTAAAAATAGATTCTAAAACCTACAACAAAACCTACAACTTACCAACATTTTATCATCATATTTTTTAAATCAATTTTAAATGCTGATACTTTTATATTTTTTTCTTTGAGTCCTTACTTGTTAAACTCGCTTCTTTAGCTTGGACAAATATGCCAGGGAGGCCCTTTGCGATTAAAGTAGAGGTGAGTCACAAGGATCACTCGGATTTTTGGATAGGTTTACTTCTACAGGGAATAGAACCTCACCATTGGCGCTCCGAATTGTGCAACAACCAAGTGAGCCACAAAGAAAATGCAGTAATACAAAAATAAAATAAGGAAGCTTGAATTTTTTCAACCGTAATGCCCCACATCGTCAGGATGGTCTCAGATTTAAGCACTATTCGATCGATTTCTGCTCTTGATGGATAAAACCACTATCTTTATTCTAATTTTTTGATTTTTCTATGTTTGTTAACAGAAAAAACGCAGACTCAGTCCAGCAGTATGTTTGCTTTTGATATGCGGCAAGCATCGAAGCTTCGATTGTCTGATAGGACGATGTAACAAATTTAATAACAAATCTAATATGAAAGAACTATATATAAATTCGCATGGTGCTGGGGGTCCATTTGTTTTCAACTTCTTGACGATAATTTCTTAATATATTAGCCCATGGAGAGAATTAACCAGGAATGACGAACCACGTACTCTATTTACGTGCTTCTAACACGTGATGTTTTTTGACGAAATGCCACTTACTTTTGATCGATCAAATGATCTCAAGTTTTCCTTCTCGATATTTGTTCTTAAATCCAATTTCTGACGATTCAATTATTATTTGAGAATTTAGTTTGTGATTCTTTTTTTTTCTAAAATACAGTATATTGTACTGAATTCGAATTTGATTTTCAGCGGATTTTCAGCAGGCGATTATTTTTAAAAGAAATGAAAAAGTTCGCGTAAGTTTACATTGAAAATATCAAATAATAAATATTTGTCAAAAATATTCGCCAAATAGAAATATAAAAATTTTACTAAGCCATTCACTGCAAAAAAGAATTTTGCAGAAAGGGAAATGTCTTTTTTTTCGCTTTTTTTGCTTTCTCTGGAATATTTCTTTAATGCTGACTTCAAGGAAATTTTTCAAACGATCCAAAAAAGTCCGAAAAATCCGAAAAAGTGATTTTTAGGTTCTTATTGCTTTTCATCACTAATGTACGTGTTGCAAACACTGAGATTTATTACAGTTTGAATAATGGTTTTTATTCTTGCATAACAGTGGTGAGCGTGATTACTTCATTGATTAATTTAAAAATCCAGAAAACCTGTTTTCATTTGAGGGAACTGCTTTGTTATTGTAAAATAAAGTTGCTCTCAGAAATAATTCTTTAAAGCAAACAACTCTTCATTCCTTTTTCTTGTAAAGTTTTGATTTTGACTTAAATTTATTTCTTCCTTGACTTATTTCTTTGGTTGTCTTCTTTTTTTTACAACGCTATACCGCTCATTCCATCGATATTGCTTTTATACATAAAGAAAGATAGAAAGATTTTTTCATTCCAAAATTTTCAAAAATTCTTCCACGATCAATAAATAAAGGCTTGAAAAAATTTGATTATTAGGGCGACGATTTATATATTAATGGAAAATTCGTTCGAAAACTAACCGCAGAAGACAAGGAAGAATTGAGAATTTACAACGAGAAGGTCGCGGAATGGTCGCGCCAACTAAATCAGCAAATTAATGAGGTTAACATTTGCTATGCTATATCAATGCTATTGGAAGGAAAAATGAGAATTCAGTTAAAAAACCGGTTAAAATTTTCCATTAAATGTATTTCTGGTTATTAAAAAGTAAGAAATAAGATTTAAAAGTGAAAAATACCATCCTTTATAAATAGGCAATCATTCAGAAAGTCAATCAACAAATGCAACAACTTCAAGAATATCTAAACAATATATTCGGAAAAGATGTAAAGAAACAAAGGAGTTTTAATCCTTGGCCGTCGCGTCAAAACGCCAATCGTCAGCTGGATAGTAATAGCAATTCTTTTCCGAAATTTCCCAACATTTGCCATGTTTGATATTTCGTTAAGCAAATATTATAGCGAAAATTCTCGTAAAGGAATAAATATTTGAACCGATTGGTCCACATAACCTATGTTTTCAAAATGTAAATATTCTTACAATCCGCGTATTGTTCCTTTGAAAAAAAAAATGGAAATGCAATTATTTTAAGTGGACTTTTTTTTTTTAAGAATCCTCACCATTACTAATTAAACTCGCTCCGCTGGTTTGTCGCATTGAACGAATATGCTAGAGAGTCTCTCGGCGATAGAAGTATAGGTGAGTCGCCAGCATCCTCCGGATTTTTGGATAGTTTTACTCCTGCGAGGAATAGAACCTCTGCATCGGCACTCAGAATAGACTCTTAATGTTCTTATAAAGCAAAATGAAATATATAAAAATGAAACGAATCGATGCGAAATAGAAAATTGAATAGAACTATAAGAAGTAGAAGATGGAACAACGAGAATTACAACCATTAAATTCATTTAACAAATTTTTTTATTTTTGAATAACTTAGAAGGTTACCTTTAACATTGACGCATGGAAACAAGTGGTGGACGCATCTGCACTTCACTCTGGTAAAGAACATAGCCAGTTAGCCAGTTTGGCGAATGCTACTGAGGTTGCAATCAAAAACTTATCGAACTATCAATTCAACTCAACAATTCACTCCATCTTAAGAAGAAAAATACCAGCGTGGCAGAAGTTTACGAGGTCAATCTGACTGATATATATATATATATATTTTTAAGAACCCTCACCATTACTGGTTAAACTCGCTCCACAGGCTTGTCGCATTGGGCAATATGCCAGGAAGTTCCTCGGCGATAGAAATACAGGTGAGCCGTCAGGATTTTTGAACAGGTTTATTCCTGCGGGGGATCAAACATCAGCATTGGCGCTCCCAATCGAACAATAATCCACCACTGAGCCATTCTGTCCCCAATATGATGCATATTTATTATTATTTTGTGCTTTTTTGCATTCCAAAATATTCCAAAATGCGTGGGTAACACTGTTCATTTTCTATTTCATTTTCTATTTATTAATATAAAAATTTATGAAACGCTCGGTTTAAATTTTTTCGAAGGACAAAAATTTAAATTCAACAATTATATAATTCCAAAAAATATAAAATTTCAACTGCGTTTTAAATTTTAAAGTGAGCTAAATATTATAATTGAATTAACAATATGAAAAGTCTGTGAATAATTTTCATTAATTTCCATGCAAAATTCAAAGAAAATGAAAATTTCTTGGCAATGAAAATTTCTTTTTTTATGCATAAAAAGATTTTGATAATTTTTTTTATAGTTTAAAAAAAATTTAAACCAAATTTTAAAAAAATGAGTTTTTGAATCGGTGAAATCGTTGGTTGAAAAAATATTTCCAATTTTATGTGGAAATTATTTGAATTAGATAAAAAGAATATAAATAAATAATATTTATAATGTTAGGAAAGACTTCGAATGATAATCTTTGCGGAAATGGGCAAAACTCAGCCGAAATTATAGAATCCTCCACGACCGATTAGAAATACTTTCTGAAATTTCTTATCAACTGGAGATTAAATCCACAAGATAAAAAATAAAAATGAAAATAATGGTGTTATTTGATAGATGTGCTTTTAACTATAAACCTATCGGTTATTATCAGCTAACAGCAATATGTTTTTTTTATCAATGCGGCTAATTTCATTATTAATCGAAGATCTTTTTCCATGAAATCGTTGTTCTTAATTCATCCTCAAACTATGTTGCACTTCATCAAACAAACACCATGCCAAGCATCTGCTGAAATTCATTTAGATTCTCTCAAAATGTTAAATATTTTCCATTCACTCCGTCGTGACTGGTTTATTCATTATTTACTCCTTTATTTGGCCGTTTCTCGACAACTAATTGTGAAACATGGAAATAACAATTTAAATGGTGGAAACTAGTAAAGCAATGATAAATTTATATTCTAAATAATTCCTAAAATCAAAGAATTTTTAAATGAAAAGTTCGCATAAATGAAAAAAAACAAAGGATAAAAAGGCCGAAAATTTCATCTATTAAGATTGAAAATTCATCGAGTGGATTTATAACTTATCCCTGAACATGGAAGTTTATCCAGTGAGTTTGAAACTTCACTTAGACAACTTATTTGTCCACTGGGCATTGCACTTCGACTGGCAAGCTTGCAGGTTCTTCCGTTGGACACGGAACTTCATCCCATCGCATGAGAGAGCCGGTCGCATTAGATCTAAATTAGCTAAAAGAACATTTTTGCAAGCTTTTCGTTTTCGTTGCTTTTCGGAAAAAAATTTGAGATTCATAAAAGGATCAGCAATCGGTAGGAGCTTATATAAAATGATGAGAATAGCTCCTTCCAATCTCCCTCTATAGAAAATTCAGCAAGCGGACTTGTACTGCATAAATGTGGTGAATGAACGAACGGTTAGTTACATCTGTTGTAACCACAAACTTCCATAATGAAACCGTTTTCTTAAAAACCAACGTTTAACGAATTGGCAAATCGCGAATGAAAAAAACCACAAAAAAATTGTAAGAAAAGAAATGATAAATAAGTGATAAATGATAAATAAATGATAATTGTAAAAAAATTGTAAGAAAAGAAATGATAAATAAGTTTTAAGGAAAAAGAAATGGCGAAAATAAAGCATTCACATCAGTGAGCACCACCATTTCGGTTAGCACTTCGGTTAGCTTTGGTAAGAAATCTTTGCTGGCGAGTCATTTGGCGATAAAACTACACCGTGGTGGATCGCCAGCACCGCTCGGCTTATTTGTCGATAAAAAGCAAGCATATCAATGAATAAATTCTCTTCCAAAGGCTTTTTTCCGGAAAAACGATTTTTTAATTATTTTAGCGATATTTATAGGAATATAAAAACAGCGATGATTGCGAATTTTTTTTCCAATTTTTTTGGAAGAAACATTTATTCATTTCAAATATTTTATACGTAATTTTTTTTCTGAACAAACGTAAAAAACCTTTGAAGCACTTTTATTTATTGAAACATTTCAGATTCTTTTCTTTATACATATATCCTTATAAGTATTAAAAAATATTTCTGGATATTTCTCAAATATTTCTGAATTCTACCAAATTTCTCGACCTTTTTCCTTTGTATCAAAAAAATTTCTCCTGGGCTCCTACAGTATTATTTCGGCGATTTTGTTATTAATTACGAAAAATGAAAAATAATTTTAAAAATTTTCAAAATTTGTTATTATGTTGATGCATTAACAATGCCATTTTTCCAAATTTTTAAAAATGAATTTTTAATTCTCTCTCCGTAGAAGTATTGGTCATTTTTGAGGTTTAGTGACATTATTTCATTTAAATGAGGTTGGCAAAAATCCGTCTGATGGTTCAGTGATGGAACCATTCAAATAACATTTGCGTGATCTTGTACGCTCTGAAAATTTGCTAGAGGAAATAATTCAAAGACGGCAATAAGTAGCACATCGAAATCATCGAATATGATGAAGAATGTGGTTTACGAGATTTAAAATTGGTAATTCAGATTACTGGACATCTGAAACATAAGAAACGAAGTAATCAACAGCTGAAGCTGATTCCAGATATATTTGCTGAAAAACGGGATTTGCTCAATGGTCAAACTCTTCTGATGTCCATGCGAACAGCTCATTGGAACAGTTCTCTTCAAGAACAAACTTCATCGAAATTGCCAGCAGTAGCAATTGCCAGTTGCAAGGAAGGATCCTCCAGCACTTTCCGCAGTGATCTCATGCTCCAGAAAAAAAACTAAAAGAATTTGGCTTCGAAGTTCTATCTCAGCCACCTTGTAGTCTTATCTCTTTTGGCTCCTTGCATCACTTAGCTGAAAAAAAATTTCTTTTTTTTAAGAAAAAAAGAAATTGAACTTTTAAAAAATGCCTTGAGGAGTATCCATGTTTGTGCATTTAGGTGGGAAAAATTTATGGAGAACGATGGTGAATATATAATTAACTACTACTATTGTGCACCGACTATTGAATATTGACTAATTAATTTTGTTTTCTCAATATTTTTATTCCAATTTTTAATCAAATACGTTATTCATACAATTATCAAATAATTTCAGCCAATATATTTGGAAACTCATCTAAAATGAAGGAGAAGGAAAGGAAAATTTGAGCCCTCACAGTGAGACTTGTGATCTCTGCACCGGAAGAAGCATTTTCATTGGGCTTTGGATTATTGATTATCGACATTCCGCGAATGAGAAATTTTCCATAAATAGCCAGAAAACTCCCTTCATTTAGTTTTCCCTCGTAATATTTCTACCAGTTATACAATGCACCATTATGTAGTTTTGCATGTTTGGAAAAAGCTGCCAGGTGAAATGGGCTATCGCAATAATTATCGACCAGTTCATTGAATCACCACTTAAATCACCACTTCCAATTTTTTTTTTGATAATCAGGTTTAACTATTTATTGAATTTCGTCGATAAAATATTATTTCGAAGGAAACAAATCGGGATCAAAATGCCAAATATGAATAAAAAACAAGCAAAAAAATAAATATGTACAAAATCCAACAATAATTAACGTAAAAAATGAAAGAAAGTTATCAAATAAATAATGAAAATAAAATTTAAATTAATCTTCTTCACCAGGAGGCATCGATTCATGCAATATACGAATAAACTTCACTCTTATTTCTGTATTCTGGTTAAATTCCTGAACAATCGCTGCCTGCACTTCAAGATGCATCATTTCCAAAGCGCCACGGATAGCACCACAAATCATTTGCGAATACCTAAAAAAATAAATATGGCTGAGAATAAAAATTTTAAAAAATGCAAGAAAAACATTAATATGCAAATAAATAGGCACAATCACATAATCTATGCGAACTTACTAACTAGTTAAGTTGATGTAAAACAATACAGCTAACCTCAGATCCTGAGCCAACTCAGAAGGGACTTCGACAAATTCCGTAAGTGGATTTGAATCCAAAATTATTGAAAATTCATCATTTCCTGCACTCCAGTTCGTTATATGAGCGGTTACGCCTTAATTTTTGCGATGATTTTTACGATGCTAACCAATATTCCTGACCAATAAATTTTAAAATTTGAAAAAAAAATTTTATAATTTAAAAATTTAGTAATTTAATATAAAGATTTTAAAAAAATTTAATAGCAATAAACTGAAAAATCTATAGACAAACCAAGATAAGTACGAAGAGCAACTTTGGACAAAATATCAGCGACTTGATGCATATCTGTGCATCTACCGATCTGTGGATTTTTTGCCAGAAGATCATCAGCAAGCCTTAATCCAATATTGTATCCCATTTTATCTAATTGTCGATTAACCTAAATATTGAAAAAATGGTCATTTAAATAATTGCATAAATATTGCAATACATAGGCGAAAATCCGTACCTCTGCCGGGTTCTCTAGATCTTTCAGTAATTCAGCAACAAGTGCACCATATGTTAAAGTAAATAGTTCACCACTAACCTGAAAAAGCAGAAATCAAAAAAATCCGACCTAAAATGATTGAAAATTGAAAACTGCCAACAATTTTAATCGGACAAAGCAACAGTAAAATGTGAAGACTGTATGTAATATTTAAAAAAAACCTTTTTTGAGTCAATCCCAAGTGGTAATTTTGTCTGTTTTGACATGGTTATGGATCTAAAACAAATATAATCAGAATCGCTTTTAATTTAATACCGAATTTAATAAATTTCCACCATAAAAAAGACGAATCTCTTTGCTTCATTAAAGGGACGACATCTACTCAATTTCATTAAATAACTGAAGAGAAACAATATCGTAATAATCAACATATTAGAATCAACATAAATTTTATCCAGTGATAAAAATATAAATATAATAATCTCCAAATAATTTAATCACAAAAGAGGTAACAGCAGCAAACAAAATTTTTTGCCTGAATTACAAAATTAAAATAGTGAATGATAAAATGAAAACAAATAAATAGGAAAATACCGTTAATAAATCTTTTCAAGAAAAAATTATCAACGAAATTCACAAACTTTGATAAATAGAATGAAAATTGTAACAACACAATTTAATATTAAGCCATTAATTTATTTAAATAATTTTAAATGCACTGATATTATACGAACAAATCATAGAGAATGTGGCGAAGAATCTAATTTATTGAGCAGTTCTTTCCTTCTGCGTTCGAGTTCCTCTTCACTGATCTCTGATTCGTTACTATTTATCTAAATTTTATTTCTTTCTATAACTATAATGATAACTATAACATTAGGCAAAATAAAATAAATAAATAATAAAAATAATAATGTTGCCCTTGAGAATAATTTTCACAAAATAATTTTTTTATTTTTTAAATAAAATATTTTTTATTTAAATATATACCGATATTGTGACGAAACTAAAGAAATGATAATTATTTCCGATTATATAGAAAAATAAATATCCTCATTTTTTATCAGAAACAACAAAAACGTACATTCGGACTCACGAACTTCATTTTGGATTTCCTTGGAGATGCCTCCTAAAAAAAAGATAAAAATAATAAAAATAATAAAAGCGAATAATAGAAGGATTTTAATTACTTCACTGGTTCACTGGTTTTAAGTTGAATAGCCTAAATAAATTTTTTTTCTTTGAAGTTCCCAGTTTATTCTTTCACTTACTAATAATACGAAGACTTTTTTATCAAAGAAACATTGGGAACCACTTGGATTCCACCTGACAGGCTTAATCCTGTTAAAAATTAAGAACAAAACTTGTTACTTATTCTCAGACAAAGCAATATTCAACAGCTGTGAAACAAATCATAAATTTTGATTTAAAAAAAAAGGTGGAATATATTAAGAAAAATAACAGTAACATTAGATGACGTTCTTGATTCCGATCTTGATCGTTTCTTCTTTTTCCTGCGCTTCCGATCTGAATTAGTTGCATATTTCCATCGTATTTTCAAAATGCTTTTAAAATTACATCAATTTCTCCTTGAAGAGCATTAAAAAAGTATAAACAAAATATATAAAAAGTAAATTCAAACGCGAATCATTTTTAAATAAATAATTGAATGAATAAGTAAATAAAGTGTAAGTTACCTTTCTCCTCATCACTTACATCTGACTTATGCCGCTTCCTTTTTGACTTTTTAGGCCTTCCTTCTACGTCAGAATCCGAATTATAAAACAAAAAACGTTAATTATTCGAAAAAATTTTAGAAAAATTCATTCTCTAAATGAATATAAGAACTGACCTCATCTTTATTTTTGCGCTTTTTTTTATCCTTTTTTTTCTTTTTAGCAGAACCATGATAATGCCCACATACTTCAGTTAAATTGGCAACATAATCCTGAATTCAAACATGGAAATGAAATAAAAATGCATGGCATGAAAATGATCTGCTCAAATTTTTAGCCCCATTAATGTTTCGGAAGTTTCAATTTCAATTTCAATTAGACCGAGAAATAATTACATAGAAAAATTTTTCTCGCAACTGTTCGCTTTCCACAGCAAGAAAAGCTTCCTCATTTTCAATTTTTGGCCGAATTACAGCCCACTCTGACGAAGGTTCAACTGGCGGCAATAATGAGTTAAGTACCTTGCGAAATGCTGCTTCTTGGCGCCGACGCTAAATTGTATCAAAAAAAGAACTTAGTAAAAAGAGATATTTCATATAAAAATATATAAAACCGGAAAAAAATGACATGAAACTGAATACTCTTCTAGCTTCCTCTCTTTCTTGCTCTTTTTCTTTATTTTCTGCTTTTTCCATTAGTGAATTATAACACAATTTCATATTTCCTGGATCAACATTTTTGCCACGTTCATCACTGGAGACCCATCTACACAACTGATCGAAAGTCGTATCAAGAGTGACTGTCACATTGCGATCCTATAAAAAGCAACAATAAATAAAGGTATATTCTGCCATGACAATGAAAAGAATTCGGTACCTTTAAAATTTCTTTAATAATTTTTCGATCTTGACCAAATTGACTTTTCAAATCTTCTACATAGAATTTGAAAAGATCAAGCGGCGTACTACCAGATTGCTCTAACATATTGTCGAAACGTGCATCCGAAGAAATTATTGGATAGAGCTCACTCCACAAAGACATTGACGTTAATTCGCCTTTAATTTTTTGTATCATATTAAAAATAATTTCAGTTTTAATTCTCATATAACACGGTTAATAAGAACTGTTGAATAATAACCTCGTTTATGAAGTTCCACAAGAAAAGCCTGAAAAGCTTCGCGTATTTTTCGTTCTTGTCTTCGTCTTCTCTTTTCTTCCAGATCCTTTTCTTTCAAATAATGTTTCTCAGCTGTTCGTATGTGTTCCTCAAAAACAATAAGTGCATCCTCTTTATCCATGCCTAAAAATGAAGCTTTTCTTGTAATAATTATAATATCAAAGATCTTCCGAAATAATCTTCACAGAAGATAAACCCAATTTAAATACACAGAAATTTTAAATGAATTGAAAGATAAAGATAAAAAATTGAAAGAAAAACATTCACTTTTTAAAGATATTAACTTAATATTCTATATTGTGCTTCTATATTCTATGGATACAAAAATTAAAAAGTAATCACAATATATCATCTTCATCCTTTCATCCTTTTAAAAACATCTTTGGTTTCGTTGCTGCTGTGGAGCTTTCTGATCAAACAAATATTTGCAGAGCAGAACCTTCTATCACTTTTCATTCATTCTATTTTATTTTTATTTAATCCACGGGCGAAACTTGCTCAACAGACCTAACCCTAGATTATTCGCTAATTCGCTAACGACCTAATTCAATGTAAATAACTTGTGTTGTTTTTTTTCATTATACGCTAATTGTCAAATTAAAATTTAATTTTAAAAATTTTAAAATTTAGACATAAATTGAAATCTTTTAAATTACGATTTAAAAATTACTTTGTAGAGTGCTATCGTTGGCAAAAGCGGGATTTTCTATAAGAAGTCGCTGTGCTTGTGCCCACGTTGTTTTATAAGTAATTTCTTCCATTCCTTCCAGTATATCAGCCAATGCTTGTACATTCCGACGACGAATAGATTTTGCATTTTCCTTTTCACGTTTTTCGATCAATTCCTTAAAAAAAATAGATAAAATAAAATGGTAAATAGATAAAATGGTATTTAGACATTAGTGTGCCGTTGGTGTATCCGGTCCAAAAAAATATTATAGCCAAATTTCTTCAAATCTGCCAAATTTAGCCAAAATTCTTCGCAATACTCGTTAAATACGTTCTCTGCTCCTTTAAATGTAATTACTTTAGAATCCGTTCCACGTCCAAAAATTCACCTTATTCTAACATACCCCACTAGCAAGAGCCTCTTAAATCTTTGCAGCCCTTACCTTACCTCACTTCGTCAGGGTCTATCCATTATCCATTAACACTCCTCCACTATAAACTTCTATTAATGTACCAATAAACTCCACTATAAACTTCTATTAATGTACCAATAAAACTCCCTGAATTCTTTTGCCATATTACATTAGCACCAGTGGTACCATTAGCATAAATTTCATTCTTTAATGTTCTAGAGGCTATCTTTGAATAACAAATTTCTCAGAAATAGTTATAATGCATCCAAAAACCTTAATCCCCTTCCCTAAGCCCATCAATATTGCCCTTTTGCTAAAGATCAATAAATATATGTCCATGTATCCTCTATATTATGCCAATCTGGTAAGAAAATCCTGTTATGTCTATTTTACAACTGAACTTGCGCCCTTCGCTGGAATCCAATAATATTCTCTAAAAGCCCATAATGTCGCTTGTAGAAGAAATTCCAGATCGTATTACTGATCGTATTATCGTATTATTTCTTTAATAATTGCCATATTCTACTTATAAACCTCAGACTCAAACCTAATCAAATATTCTTAAATTACCATTCTCATCTTGTTTCCTTATTACTTCCTCAAAATTTACAATGTACTATATGCAGCCGCACTTACAATTTGTAAATCTGTCGATGATAGAATAAAAATGACGGTGGAACAAAACGAGAATATGAAGGTGTTCAGAAAGTGTGAACTGTAAAGCGTTCAAGAAATCGCTGGATAATGTCAAAACAATGTACCACGAATTGAAGAGGCATCAAAAGAAGGTAATTCTAATCATCCAAACTATGTGTTTTTCATTAGTCAAAAACTTATATTTGGATGAAATAAGCTTTTATTTTTTCTTGAAAAAACATTTAGAAAGATTAACTTTAGCTTTGAAAGGAAATAAGATATATTTTTTTATTTTTTTCTAATGGCGTTTATCCTTTCTCTTAAAGACAAGAGCAAATATAAGATAATATAAAGCCTAAATCGTTGAATACATATTCGAACGAAAGTGGAAAGTGGCAGGATAAATACCAAACGAAATCTGAATATTCCAATGCATAGAAAGTTTTGCTTTTATCTTTTAAATATATGGGAATTGGTAATTGCACCAGCGGATCGAGATGGATTGGCGATAGTAAAATCTAGAGAAAAATTAACTTTAGCTGATAATGAGCTCCATATGCCATCGCCATACTAGAAAAAACTCGAGCAATTCTAATCGCACAAATATCTACAAATCGATCGGGTATCGAAAAATTAAAACAAAATTTCCTTCGATTATCAATACATATCCCTACTAGAGATGAATTTGACAAAAATAGGTTCTTTGCAGAACTTCACCTGCCAACAAAATCTCTTCCTAAAGTGATAACCATATAATCAAGGAAAATTGGAAAGGGTAAGGGTAAGAGTATGAAAGGATGTCAGCTGGGTGGTTGGCAAGTACGACAGGAGATGTTTATGTATGGAAAGTATCTTCATCGAGTTTTTTTCACTAATACAAATAGAAAAGATTTTTTTATTATGGAAGCCAATAAGTAAAGCAAATTAACTACATTCTGACCAACCATTGCTGGAAGAGAACTAAATACCTGCACTACGCAAAAGGATAAATCAAAATAGAATTCGGCTATCTAAAGTGAAAGATTCTGAGAAAGTATGCACATTTCAAGCCGAATGTTCTAAAAAGCAATATGTTTGGAACAAATATCTCGTCGACTAAATTCACTATAGCATAGAAGAAAGCCAGAATGCCACTCGGGAACAAGCGTCAAGACCCACGGCTATCAGCTCCTACCAATATTAGCAAAGTAAAGTGCTAAACTTAGAGCACCATGTCATCTGAACTCGACTCAATGCGACTCAATTTCGTTTTTTTTTCGGAGAAAACCACGATAATCATAGACTGAATAGAAAGTGAAATGGATTAGCATAATCATTTAGTAGAAAAAGAACCATAGCATCTCGAAATATTTCTTTTCGTTCGCTGTCATGAACGGCTTTCCATTCGGGTTCATTTGCAAACAACGATTCTGCTTTTGAATATCGCATCGTTGCCCGTACTTTTGGATGATTCTGTAACCACTGTTCGAGCTCTTCTTTTGCCTTCTTTATTGCTATTCTCTTTTCGTCCTTAAAAAGTACAACTAATTGTCGATGACTTTTATGAAAAAAAAATTTCTTCATTTTTTAAATCAATTTTCCGTGCTTGTCCACCACAAATACTTCTTAACTTTCGTCTCAACTTATCTGCTTTTCCCAATTATAATGGTTCGCTGCAACAGTCAATCTCACTCCCAACAAGAAAACTATTAAAGATTGGCACTACGCCTGCACCCCTTTTTTCTGTTCTTTTTTCTGTTTTTTAATATTCTAAGAGAAAACTATAAGAAAAATATGGTACCATACCTTCGGAACCTAGGTAATGAAGTTGCAAATCTAAAGCAATTGGAGAAAATAATACTGTTTTTTCATTCCGTCATCAAGAAGCTTTTTTTCCAGTTTTATAGAATTAGATAAATAATTATAAATTATAAATATAATAAATAATTATAATTAGGCATTATCACTAGAACTAAAAATAGATAAATCTTATCTTTTCTGACTTCGATATATTCTTTCTGTTTAAAAAATTCATATTAAAAACACTGCAAAATTGCTAGATAAAATTAGATTATTAGAATATCACAAAATACAGCTGAAAGAACAAATGGCTGGAAATGTTACTCGCGCTGAAAGAACTGGCTCAATATTTCATCGGTATTTTTTGTTTATAATTTCTTTACAATATTTTGAGATCCAAATAATTTTCTTTTTTTTAGAAAAAAAGCAACAAAAAATCATTAAGGCAAAAATAAGGTCCAAAAAATAAATCGTTTTACAAAATCTCTTTACAACAACTATAAATTGAAGAATGTTGTTCCAGAACTTGGGAGCGATAATTTTTTCTTTTTCTAATATTAATATCGAATACGATATTGAAAAAAATTCAAGATCGTCGAAATAAATCCACAGAAAAATAAATTAATTGGACTAAATATTAAAAATAAAATTACTTTGAAAAAGCTTGAAAATCTAGAAATCAACTTAATTTTAATGATTCTAACTTTTTGGAATAACAAATTTAATTCGATCTGGTCAACTGAAATGGGAAAATAGACCTTTATGGTATGATGTTTATGCATCGATACCACCTTATATCGAACCGGTATGGAATGCGAAATATCCCAAAGAAAATGAACCTGTCACATCAATTTTTTATCACGAAGATCTGCTCAGAGCGTATCTTTTATTTTATATTTTCATTAATTTCAATTATAATCATAAATAACTTGGCAGTGTACTGTTTTTAAACAAAGAATGAAGAAAATATGGGAAATTATTTTCCTAATCAAATAAAAAAAATTTTTTTTTAGAAAATTCTATAAAAAATTTCCATCAGTTGGAGCTATTAATGTCGAAAATGAGAAATCAAAATCAGTTGCTCAAATATTCATTGAAATTTATAATGCAGAATTGTCATCTTTTGATGGAAAAGATATTGAAATGACAGAAGACAAAGTTTTCGATATGGTGCTGGCAAAAATGGATAAAGAAGGTATATCAATAAGTCCAAATAAAATTACTAGGTCCAATCTGAATTCTGGCAGATCCTCATCGGAAGCAGTTAATTATGAAGATAAAAAAATAACTTCAAAAGTTATTGATAAAAAAGATAAAGAAACAAAGCCAAATATGGCTGAATAAATTTTAAAATTTTTTCCAATCTTTCGTTGAATGTATTATTTGTTTCTATAATTTTGAATTTTTATACAATTTTATGTAATATAAATTTTATATAATTATGTAATTTTGATTTTCAATTTTTTTGATTTTAATGAACTGTTTAAAAGGTTTTCAGTTTTTATAAACTTCCTGAATAAATTTCTTAATTAATTAATTAATTAATGGATATATGAAACTTATTCCACCACTGATACTTTTTTTTTAGAGTCCTCACCATTACTGGTTAAACTCGCTCCACTGGCTTATCACATTGAGCAATATGCCAGGGAGTTTCTTGGCAATAGAAATACATCACCCAGATTTTTGTACAGGTTTACTCCTGCGGGGAATAGAACCTCAGCATCGGCGCTCCCAATTGAGCAACAACCCACTGAGCCATTCTATCCTCCCCCCCCCCCCCCCCCTCCCTCACCATTGATATATTCAATTATATTTCATTAGTTATCCCAGCTGGACAATAAATGAAAATGATTTAAGATAAAAAGGTCGCCGATTAGCAGAAATACATTTTAAAAAAATATTTTTAAAAAACAACATAAAAAAAACAAAAATATTTGAAAGACATACCCGCTCTTCTTTTTGCCTTTGAACTTTCCAAGCGTTAAACAACTGCTTCTTTTCGCTAACTTTATTGAGAATTCTAAATCGCGGATCGTGTTGAATATATTTTACGGTATTATCCCATGAGCTCGTTGAAGTAATTTTCCCTTCATTATACTGCAATAATACTTAATAGTTTATTTATTTAGTAAGTAGTTTCGTTTAAGTATATGAAACATTATGAACGAAAAAATTGTAATGCATCCAGAATTATTTCGTTCTGAAGAAAAGCTACAGTTCGAATCAAGCGGAACCTGATAAATATAAATTAAATCTCATTTGAATTGTTTAATTCTTGGCAGTTCAAGTTTCGATTAGAGTCGTGAGCGGAATGGAAAATTTTTTGCTAATTTTATTAAATCTAGGATAGAGAAAAATTGTATACTAAGTGAAAACGCACTAAATTCTTATTAATTTATAAATTAAACCTTATATTAATTAGAAATATTCCTATATTAATCAATTAAACCTCATATTAATTAGAAATTCGACCTACTTTTTTTAAAAGTTTTTAAAATCTGATTTATTTCGGATGATTTCCTAATTTTACTATGAAAATCAAAGTTAAGATTATTACCGATTAGTATCTGAAATGTTACTAACACAAGTCATTTCAATATTACCAGTGAAAATTTGGGGACGACCAGAGGATTTTAGGCTGACATACAAAATTTTTTATCTTCCACTAGATATTTTAATAGGTAATGCTGGCGACTCATTTATATTTTTATCGTGAAATGTCTCTAGCGAAATTTACCTATTCTGATGAACCAGCGTCGATAATGGTATGCGCTTTCAGAAAAAAAGGTAATTCGCCTGACATATAACCATCATCTAATTATGTAATTCAAATCAACGTTAAAGCAGATAAACCGTTCATTTGCTCAAGTCATAAAATTTACAGTCATCAGAATAAAGAAAAACTACGAATACCAATCATATTGGTGTCATTAATATATATAATGGATAAGTAATAAATGAATAATAATAATCTTCTGGTATTTCATCTAATCGGGAAGAATTTTAATAAATAATTAAGACCTTGAAAAAGAATCTATTTAAAGCCATAATGCCGATGTTATTCGCAATTTTAGCAATTGTTATGTGAAAAAGTATAAAAAACCATAACCAAATCAAAACAGAGCTGACACCAATTAGAAAATAGATAAGAACCAACCACAAAAACTAGCAAACTATCACTAAAAATAATAAATTCAAAATGAATTAAATTTAAATGAATTGCTAAAATAGGAGATAAACTAAGGAATGAAAAATAAAAGCTTAAAAGTTTTTTAGAATTAAGGAATATTTTTAAAAAATCAAAGAAACCAAAAGAACTAAATTTCAAATTGGCATTGGGTAGGATCAAAAATAAACAGATCATCACCTTTGACGATATCAAAGTTATATTTGACAGAAATTTTTAAAAAATTTCTCCTCGTCAATCCAAAATCCGAAAACAGTCTTTGTCCATAACAATCTTTGTTCCCACAAGTTTTACAAGTTTCACAAACAATACTATTACTACACAATAAAGAAAGTCTTTATTGAGTAGATGTTTATTTTTAATTCACTTTTATTTTTTAATTTTATTTTTAATTCTCCTAATACGAGCAAAAAAAGAGCGAATAATTGTTAGTAGAAAAATAAATTAATAAAACATAATATTTAAGGCTTGTAAAAAAAATTTTGAACTTCTAATTAAATATAAAATTAGAGTATTTCTTAAAACTCTTGAAAATAAAAACCTTGTCTCTAAGTAGCTCACGAAATTTATCGGCTTGTTTTTTCTTTAATTCCTTTTCTTCATCCACTTCGTCTTCACCCACAGCTTCAATTATGTCAGTTTTAGGCTCATCAACCTCTGGTTTTTTCTAGAAATCTTTTTTAAAGATTTATAAAAAATTTATTAAGCTATAAAATTTTTAAAATAAATAAGATTAAAATTAATGTCCAAAAATCTGGGTGATGCTGACGACTCACCTGTACTTCTATCGCCAAGGGACCTCCTGTATATTTGACTATTGCGACAAGACGATGAAACGAGTCTAAGCAATAATGGTAAGGGCTCTTTTAAAAAAAATAATACTAATAATAAATAAAAACGTACAGTAGGTGTCTCAAGATTTTTGAGTGTTGCCATCATGGCTTTTTCTATTTCAGATTCTCCATTCGATACATTTGTTGTCATTTCTTCTTTTGGAATCGTTGCGATTTTTGATTCTGTGTTTTCTTTTTTTTCTTCTGCATATTTCCAAATTTAAACTTGTAAAAGATAAGATAGTAATTACAATCATTTAATAATATAATACTGCAAAAACCTTAGACCTTTATTAGAGGGTTCAAAATCTTTCGGACAAATCCATGTCGTTTCTTTCGTTTCAACGTTATAATAATATGGTCGACCTTCAGGCGTTTTGTATTCACGCCAAAGTTTCAGCGATGCAGCTTTCTTCTTCAAACATTGTAAAAAGATTAAAGGTTTCATAAAAAATGCAAGAACAAAAAATCGTGAATAAATAACTTGATCACTTTCAATCACTTGAACAATGAATGGTTTGAAATAGAAAATAAACCTCTTCCGGCGTTTTTAATTCATCTGGTTTTAACCAAGAAGACTGCTTGGTGATTTTATTATAATAATAGATACGACCATCGGAAGCTGTGTGCTCAGACCAAACCTAATAGAAAAAGAATTATTTAAATTACAATGAATTAAATTAAACGGAAATAAATAGATGCTATAAAAAATTTTTCTAGCATTTCTGAGCGATAGAAATATAAGTAAATTACCAACATACATGAATAAATTAATTATAATAACAAGAGATAAATATAAAAAAATGATCTGACATACATCCGATACCAAAAAAAAATCGAAAATGAATTTAATTAATAAAAAAGATATATAAGGCTCACTTTTAAAAAAAATGAAAAAACAAATAAGAAAATTTATTTTCGAAAACAAATGATTAAAACGAAAAGAAACAACTTCATTGCTAGTTGACGTAACAGATCCCGTAGAGGGTGATCGATGTATGCTGGCATTAGCAGCAGCAATTTCTGCAGCCATTTGTGGTGGGACGAGCATCGGACGAGGAGCTCCTGCAATCGGAGATGGAGAACTTGTCGCATTCATTTGTATCTGTTGAGGCGCATTTACTGTTATCACTAAAAACAAATATAAAAACATTTATTTAATATATTTATTCATTTATATTTATATAGATAGGTTCAAATGTGGTTTAAAATATAAATATAGTGTACTTAAAACGAAAACTGATAAACTGATAAACTAACTTTTTAACAGCTTTTTTAGGAAAGCTTATTCCAAATTTTCATAATTATTATTGCTAAATTGACTTTATTACCGCATTTTTAACATCTAATTTTTATTTAAATTTTTCATTAAGGTAAATTGGAATTCAAAAGAATAAAAAATTGAATACGGGTCGAGGTGGATTATAAAATCTTAAAAGATGGAATAAAATAAGCATTAAATCTTCTAAAATTTCTAACCTTGCTGCTATCATTGCATTAATATTAATATTAAAAATCTCCCAAATAAAAAGCTCTCTCATTATTTTCAATAATATTACCCCCGATGTCTTTTTTAAAATTAGATTTCTAGAAATGCGAAGTCAAATTAGACAAATCAAATTTTAAATCTAAAAAAAATTTTATGAAAACTGAACTCTACTGCAGATTAAACATCTAAATAAGCAATTAAATGCACTGCAATATCCACGTGAAGCTAGAGAAGGCCCACAGTCTGCCAAGTAGAAGGAAAACAAGCTTACTACCAATGATATCCACAGGCCAGGAATTTTAGCCATTTGGAGAATGTTACTTGATACAGCAAGTAAGGAAACTGAAAGAGGAAACGCATGGCAAATGGAAACAATACAGCTTACAAGCCTGCATATAAAAATGAAAGAAATCAATTACGACGTGAAGCCATACAAAAAGAAACAACAGAGGTCCAAATGTCCGATATTACCCTAATGAATTACATACACATTTAATATAAGCAGCAGAACTTCTCAATCCAACAGCTTCTCTTTATTTAAATCGTGCAAGTACCTTAGCCTTTATGTCGGAAGTGCAAGAGAAAGATGAAAAGAGAGAAAACTTGGATTACTTCGCTGAATAGGTGGCATGAGAACTTGAGGCTGCAAATACGGCGCTTGCGCGGTGTTTGGTGGAATGTTCATGATTGATGGAAAACCTGGCGGACCGCCGAAGGGAATCATTTTTCGGGGAGCTTCCTGGGCAAGAATTCCGACCTGAAATTGGCACACAACACTGCCGAAACTGCTCAATAATTCACTAAAAAGAATTTTCCAAGATTAAAGGTGAAATTCAGTGCATTTAAAAAGCGAAAAAACTTAGAATCTTTAAATTTTTCTCACTCTCATTTTTCAAAAAAATAAATATTTTAAATAAGTAAAAATAAAAGTGTGAAAACCATTACTTCTCGAAATTTACAAATCTATATTTCGTTATAACATAATTTTTCATTTAAAACAAGAAAAACGAAAACCACGGCCTCTGACGTATTTTATTAGTAAGGCCGTGCTCGCGGCTGCGGATTTCTAGCATTACTAACTTTCGGTCGAAAGGCATTGGCTTTCTGAATTGTTGCAAGGATTCATTTTTTTTCTGCGAGATTATTGCGTGGATTTGAAGTGGAATGCTTTTGAAGCATCGATTCAATGCGAATGGCTCGTTTTGTAGGAGAAAAACGCAAAAAAATAGTCACAGTAATTTTAAAAGTTTAAGAAATAATTGTTTAGGCTTTTATTCCAGTTTTTTCTTCTTTTCTTTCATTATTTTTATAATTTTATAATTTTATTAAACTTCTAATTCTGTAGAGATTTAAAAATTTATTTATTTAAAAATCGTTGCACTTCGTAAAAGAGCTGCTGAAACTCCGTCAATTATCTCAGCTCGACCTTTCCCCCTCCTTTCCTCCAACATATCACCAAACGCCCCTGTCGGTGCGCCAGGCCTTATATGCATCTCTGTTTCTCTCTCTCTCTACGCCCTCCCCCACTGGTATTGAACTAAAGTACAAATCGTTTAAAGTGTAACAAATTTGTTTATCATAAATTTATCTTTGCTTATTTTCCACCTTTTTATTGGCAGTCTGATAACTTTATCGGTCATGAAAATGATACGAACGATAATGAATGGTTGCGGACGCATGGACGCAATTAACACCGATTGGTGATACTTTAATGCACGCTTGGTGAATAAATAATTGGTGACTGCTTTATGTTTTTATTTTTTTGTTTTTCAGTTTAGTTTCATTGCTTCTTTGAAAATTTTTATTAAAGTTTAAACTTTTTAAACTTCTGAAATTTTTTGAAACTTATTAATTTCAGTGTTTTCTATTTAAGCTCGTTAAATATATTAAGTAAACTAATGAAATAAAGTGTAATTAATATTCTAGCAAAGTGCTAAATGTAATTTATATTGGCTTCGTTGAGGGCCAATCGTTCGATTCTTATCTTTTGACGCTATTTCTAAATTCGATTTTTTGCTGGAGTACTGCATTTGTACTCTTTAATTGCAATCGTAGTGTGCGGTGAGATGGTTTCATTCTAGTAGTCAGTGCAGCCGGAAATGATGCGATTAGAAACTGGTCGGATTGGCGTTTTCAAGGGTTCAAACTCGATAATTTTATTCATAGCTTTGTTATTGTTAGTTTTACGATTTTCAAAGTGGTCATTTTCAAAATGGCATTTCCTTCTGTATTTTTTTCATATTTCGGCGGTAATCATTTTATTGATGTGGCGAATGATTTTTTACTTGTTAGGTGGTTTTATCAGTTGCAACGAATGTTTTCAGTTGTTTTTTCTCATTTTATATAGAAGTAATAAAAGCTTTTTTCGATTTTTAGTGCGATAATTCAATTTATTACCTTAAAAAAGTAAATTCTTAAAAAACTCCGAGATATTGGTAATGATGAATGGCAAAACGAGTTTCTCATCAAAAAAGCCGATTTTTGCTATTCTGCTTTTGCTATTCTTTTATGTTTAAAATTTTCATGTAAGCAATAATAATAGTCTGGAAAATTCGATCTGAATCGTTTCATACCATTTGAATCATTTTCCGTATGAAGGGCACGGGCAGTAGTATGCATCTGGTCCCGGTATGCCCTTAGCGCCCATCTGTAAAGTTTTACATTATAGATTAAAGTCACTCCTCAGTATTTAGATTTTTTACCTTAAAATTTTACAGGCCATAAAAATACAGTGTGACTCCATTAAGCTTTGTCTAAAAGCTCTTGAGTGCCTGTTACCTCAGGTGAAGGCATGGTTTGGATTCATATCCCTTGATAAGGGTGTGTCAGTGAAGTCCATTTGGTCATGTAAGTACCTTTGTCCCATAAACGCTCGGAGACTGTGGTCAGATTCAGTTATCAGCGAAGCTAATAAAAAAAGCCTTTTACAAGCTCAAAAATTATAAGTGTGAGGCAAATATTTTTTTTATAGTCCACCATTTCTAATTTGGCTTATTCCATTGGATATTACAGCGGTTTTATCGCCAGACGAGTCACTTGAAAATGGAACCTGGATTTCTCGAATAGGTTCTTCGAATTTGGCTTTTGATGGTAAATTTTATTCCAGTCAAGAGATAGAGACCGAACCATGACACCTGAATGTATAGTCAAAGCAGTATACCAGGCTAAACTACTCCAATACATATAAAAGTATCCGAGTGTAAAAACTAGTTAGTACTAGGTAGGTTAGTACCGCAGAATATTTAAATAGAATGGCATAAAAATTTTTATGAAATTATTACTTGGTTTATGGGATTTTTATTTTTTCATGCAATTCAGTAAACGAAAAATGGACATAAAATTTTAAGGATTATAAGTACTTTTTTAAAAGGAAAATAAGAATTAAAAGAATAGTTGATTTGCTTTTAAAAAAGTTTTATTCATTAAGAAAATCAAATTTTAAAGTAACTTTTATTAAAGTACCATGAATAATAATTCTGGAAATGACCGATTAAATACCAACTTTTCCTTGTCGTCCATTTTTCCCGGGGATTCCATCTTTTCCTCGTCGTCCAGGTTGCCCTTGCCTTCCTTTTTCACCAACAAGCCCTGGTTTACCATCAAATCCCTTCGGTCCAGGAAGTCCGAGTGGTCCTGGAGCCCCTTTAGGACCTGGTCTTCCACGTCCTTTTTTGCCATCTAACCCTGGTACGCCTGGCCTGCCAGGTGGCCCAGCATGGCCTACTTTTCCTGTCATCCCTTGTTTCCCAGTTGGTCCAGCTTTTCCTTCTTTTCCTTTGTTGCCAACAGGTCCGACTTTTCCGGGTGGTCCGATTTCTCCTATGCGACCCCTTGGTCCTTTCAGTCCCGGAGGTCCAGCTGGACATTCAATGCATCCGCTTGGAAAATGATATGTTGCCAGTAATGCAACTCCTGGTGCACCTGGTTTACCATCTTCGCCATCAACACCATCTGCACCGGGCTTTCCTGTATTCCCCGGTGGTCCAGGAGGACCAGGGGTGCATTTTTTTCTTTTTGGCTTACAATCTTAATTTAATTCGATGACACATCACAAGCATTTTTGCATTTTTTCTTTTAATTATTTTTTTCATTTCAAAAAACTAAATAATAGATTCATTTTTCATTCGGTTTTTTTTGTAAATTTAAAATTTTTTGATTTCGGAATTTGAAAAATAAAATTTTTTTTAAAACTTATTAAATCGTTTCATTAGAAATAATTTTTTTATCAATTTTTTTATAATTTATTCAAAATAATTTATTTTCAAAAAAAAAAAACTAACGACATTTATTTGCTTCGCGGTGGTGTCTTTCGATAATTCCATGTAATTTTTCCTGAATTTGGTACCTTTTAAGAGGACCGGATTTGATATATAAAATTTTGTTCCATGTATCATCAGCAACTTTCTGAAACAAGCGTTGTAAATGTTGTAAACTAGTAATTAATAATTGATAAGGCGTACCAGAGATCCACTCACGGACAGAGTAGAGATGGGTCAATTTGAATTTTACTTTTAATCACAAATTTAGTCATGTCAAGGAGCACGAATCGAACCGTGTTGATTGATAATTTAAATAGGCTGACAATAGGCTCAAATGCAGAAGTTTATGAAATCCAATGTTGAAGAGAAAAATATTTGTTACAGTGATTGAGATAAAAATGTGATAACCTTGAAATCGCCCATTTCATCCATAACATATTCACATAAAGCGTTCATATTTTGAAAAGCAATACCAATCGTAACAACGGTTGTTAGCACAGCGAATATACTTATACCAATAGCTGAATATACGATCACCTTCATATTCATCGTCATTTTTCCTCAATCACTTCTATTTTCTGGAGAATTCAAATTTGCTTTAGAAAATAATATGTTTGGAAAATTCTGGAAGTAGAAAAAACGTTATAAAAACCGACACAAACCGACAAAATGAAACAAAGTTCTTTAATGCATTAAGATTAATTTGCACGAATGGTGGCTGTCCGGGACAATAAAAAAGTGGAAATTTTTTCTGAAATTATTGATAATATTGATAGCTGATGATTAAGCAATGTAAATAAACGATCCTATTGGCCCCAATAGCTGAAAAGCGATGAATACGGTAAAGCCAAGTCATATTGCATGAGTTAGAAATTTGCGGAGTACACTCACTGTAATAAAAATTTTATGGAGGAGCAATGATGCGATTTAAATTATAGCAACTCGGACGATATGTAAAGCGTCAATAATTAGTGAACTGTTGCAAAATATAGAATTTTCAACGGGAGAGGAGAAACTAGCAAGAATCGTTCAACGAATAGGCAGAATGCGCATTACATACAGCATTTGATGACCGTAAATAATTTTTAAACGACAATAGACAATAAATTAAACGCGATTTTTGTTTTTTAACAATAAACTAAAAGTCGGTGAACAATACTGACCGACTCAGTAAATTAATTCCCACTTTTTTCTGCATTTCTGGTTTGTCTAGTTCCATTGATCACTGGTGAAACTTTCTCTAGAGAGTCACTTAAGGATAAAACTGCGCATTAATCATTGTGATTTCATTTTAAATGCATTTTTATAGGCAAATAGGATCGGAACCGACTTCACCTGCTAGAGTCCAACTAAAACTCCATTCAGCCAAAGCTCTCTCAATTGTTAATTATTTCAATGAAGGCCAGTTTAAGATTCTGAAAGATAAAATTTTTGGATTAAAATACTCAAAGGATTATTAATTGAATATTTTCATGCGATTCAATTTACAGAAAAAAGAACCGTAAGAAACTAACTCTAATTCTTGATTATTGCAGATGATTTATTATAAATCTATAATTCATAACTGAATCATTCAAAAATTCGATGAAAAACTAGGCTTTAGGCTTTTCAATCGAAGAAATTTTGCTTTTTCCACTTTTCTCTTTTTTTTTTCATAGAAGATTTTCAGGATTTTCGCTTAGAGAATTCTATTAGATTTTACCGAAGCAAAATTTTATTCCGAAGAAAATCTTTGTATATGCTCATTTCATATCTATAATAATTCATTTCTAAAATAATTATTTTCAAAAAAAACTTTCTCCAAAGAAAAACTGATTTCTGAAGCGAAAATCAAAATTTTTTAAAAAAGATAAATGCGAAAAAAGTACACATTTTATTAAAAGAAATTGGTTCCCTTTCGAAGATTTTTTAGTTTAGTTAAATGCGTACGAACGGTTTTAAATAACAGGTTACTTGTTCGGCAAATGAAGCGAAAGGAGAGCATTTACTTGTAAAACCGAAGTGTTGATGAGTAAAACGGCCGAGACATCGATATAAAAACTCTTCGTTGACGGAAAAAAAACTCGTTTATTGGGAGCAAAAAGCTGCTTAGCAGTCAAAATGGAACCAGAAGGGATTCAAAAATTAAAATATTTACTCGATAATTTTTTTGGTGATAGCCAAGTTTGCTCACTTTTTGCTTACCAAAATACACTTTATTTGTCCTATTTAGCAAGTTTCTTCTTCATTTCAATTTTTATTTTTTGTTCAAATATTTCATCTTTATAGGGAATAAATACGAGCCATTTCTCGTTGGTTGGTATCGCTTCATTGGCTGTTGGCACGACGAGAAACTCTGACAGCCAGAGATTTGCCAGAGATTTCTCGGAGGCAGAAGTACAAATGGTTTGCGAACAGCACTCGGATTTCTTATCAAAAGCAAACATCGAGCAATAATTTATGCAGCAACCACTCCAGTTTAGCCGTTTTTTTCACTAATATTTATAATTCTTTTGCTTTCCGAGTTTCGCTTATGTTTTTTGAAAACAAGAAAAGTGGAAATATTATTTTTAGTTAAGAAAGAGGAAAAATTGAACAATTTTATAAAACTGGATATCTTTAAAATTATTTTTGAAAAGAAATGTTTGCCTACAATTGTTAAAAGTTTTATTATCCAACGGCGCTCCTTAACTTTTTATTTTTGAATTTATAAAAATTGGAATTGAACCAATTATGATGAAATATTTCAAAATCCATGAAAAACTTAAATTAAAGTCAAATTTACAAAATTTCAAAACTAAACCTCTTTTAAATTTACAAAACGCATTTACAAGGAATGAACCGTTTAATTTGAATAAAATTTTTTTTGAAATTTTTTCTAAAATTTTGAAATTCAAACTTTGCATGGATTTTAAAATATTTCATCATAATTGGTTCAGCTCCGTGATTTCTTATTTCTTACTACGATGTACTATATTTTATTCTTTTTCGACCAACTTTGGTGCACTTTATACAGTATGCGGCGTGATATTTGCGGAGAAAATCGAATTTTTTGTGATTGGTTTTCTATACGCCTGAATGGTGTTTGAAAGAATAACTTGATTCGATCGTTCAACTGTTTCATTCTTCATTGTTGTAATTCGTTTGGTTCTTTTGTTGTATACCCCTTGTGATAGGCGATGACAATGAATTTAAAAATTGATTTAGTTTTATAAATTATTTGATTAATAATGCTTAAAATAAATATATGGATTTTTTTTGCAATACGTAGAATAAAGGTGGAAGTTTCATACAAGCATTTAGGTATTTTCTCAGAATCCTTTTGCCTTTTTTGGCTAATCTTGTTTAAGACTTTAAAATTTTTATAAGAAATCATTGTATCATAAATTATGATTCTTGCCAAGGTTACTTTCTCCACCTCTCAATATATTTCCGAAAAAAATATTCTATGAACATCACGGAAATAATTTCAAACACAAAAATAAAAAACTACGATTTAATAAATGAAATGTTGTTTTACAAGCTAATTAAATAAGTTACTTAAATTTCACTCTGTTTAACTTATATGTAATATATCATATGAAGAAAAAAAATCCTTTCTTATTTCCTATGAGGGCTATGGGCCATCCTCAATCTCGAGTTCCTTACCAGAGGCCTGGGAGATTAAGGGTTCTGCGCAGTATTTGTTGTTAGCTGTTCCTATTATTGCACTTTTCTGGATGGAGATTTCTGATGTTGTTTCTGGAATCTGTTGGACCAACTTTCCTATTTAGAGGCCATAACCTCTCTTTCAGCCTTTATTTCTCTGGCTCCTCATATTACTTTTTTTCTTCGTATTGTTATATTTATCTTTAATGCTGATTTATGGTTCTTCTCTAATGGGACGACTCTCTACTACGATATGCGGTTGATTGGTCAATGCTTGTTTGTTTGTCTGATTAAAAATATTTCAGTGGATTCAGTGTCCCAGTGGATCTTTGCCGTGTTATTCTCCACGATTTTCTGGGGAATCGTCTATTCTTAAGGAGGGTGGATTTAGTGCCTGTATCTGTGGTCAATGCCTCAGTGATGTCTTTTCTTGCCTTTCTTTCCAACCATTGGTATGATTTCTCATTGTGCATATATGTTTAAAAAAAATAAAAAACCTGTACATATTTATATCTACATTTATTTATATATAGGAATAAAAGAAGCTAGAGAAATACTAGGGGCTCAAAGAGGAACTGCAGAAGATGAAGAAAATCAAGACCAAATTAATCATAATAGTATTAGCAGCAGTAGGGGCTGTGGCCCTAAACTGAAAAAGCAGATTCCAGGAACAATATTAGAAATATCTGTCCAACCCACTGGGACAGCTCAAATACGGTGGGAAACCCTCAAGCTTCCGGACCTATGGTAAAGAGCCCAGATTTTATTAAGTGATATTCAGGTGTATATTGCAGATCCATCCGTACTTCATCGCAAATAACTTTCTTGGCCTAATAGTCAATGGAACCAAGCAAACTGGAAACATTTATATAAGGTATATTTAATTGCGAAAATAGGGTCCTAAAAAGTTTGAATTCTTAACAAATCGTATTTAATAAACTTAATAAATGCATGAATGCATAAAGTGATAAACGAATAATATTTGCAAATTATGCATAAAAATTTTCTATTGTTTTATAGAAATAAAAACTAAGAAAATCCCTTGGAATTTAAATTCAATTTAATTTGCAAATTACTTTGGAATATTTTCCTCAAAAACTTAGAAATTAAATTGCGATGGTCAAGTGAGTTGGTTTCGGTCTGCGTTGGCCATCAGAGATTCAATTCGGTGACTCTGACGGTGACCTTTCATTAGAAAATACTGGCAATGCTGGTGACCTACCCGTGCTTCTATATCCAAGTGAATCCTTGGAAAAATTTCTAACCGAATCAACCAATTGAATAAACCTAACCAGAAATGGTGAACCATTTATGTTTATGTTTAAAGGGTTCTAAATTAAATTTTGAAGATAATGCGATTTTAATAATTTTTATTAATCAAAATTTTATGATTTTTGCACAGAATGAAAAAACTCATTTGATATATAAATGAGACTATATTATATGATTTGATTAAATGCGTAAAAAACCATTGTCCATTAAATGGCAGAACGCATCGGGCAAGGACAATAATGAGCATCGGGGCCAGGTATGCCTTGCTTGCCAGGCTGAAAAAAATAGCTGAAAAAATTCGCAGAAATTAAAATGAAGTGTGATCCGCGCAATGATTAAAAATGGATTGCATTCAGCTATCCTTGCTTTTTCTTTAAGTGTTAGCTAAAATTTTTTATAATTTTTCATTATATATATTATGGAAAAATAGACTTACTGAACCAGGTCGCCCAGGTGTGCCTTGCTTTCCATCCCTTCCGCGTCGGCCACTTGGTCCTTGTTGTCCAGGTTCGCCATCAGTTCCTTTCTTGCCATCTTTTCCTGGCAATCCTGGTGGTCCACGTATCCCAGTACGACCTTTCGGACCAGGAGGTCCAGATCCTCTTTTCCCATCTTTTCCAAGGATTCCGGGCTTACCGAGGGGGCCTTGTTGCCCTTGTGGACCAGGATTACCTATGGGACCAACTTGACCTGGTTTTCCTGGTGGACCTGCTAGCCCTCTCTCGCCACAACGACCTTTCGGTCCCTTTTCACCCTCTATTCCGGGAGGACCTGGGGGGCCAGGTGGTCCAGGTGGACATTCAATGCATCCACCTGGTATATGATAGGTTGCTGCGAGTGTTACTCCAGGAACACCCGGTCGACCATCTTCCCCGTCTAAGCCATCTGGGCCGCTTTCTCCTTCATCTCCTTGAGGACCTGGTGGGCCTGCAGGACATTTGGCTCTTCTGCCTTCGCAGTCTATTAAAGATGAAATTATTTATAAAAGAAACTTATCTTTTTAATTGGCTCGACTTAGCCAGGTTAAAACTACAAATGTGAATTTATAAATTACATTTTTTCAAAGTGTTTCAAAATATGATTAATCGTTCTTTTAGCTTTTCGAACATAACCAACCAATCATTAACTCGAGAAATAACAAAATTATTAATCATTTTTTAGAATTAATATTAAAATCATTTCGCTGGTTTATTTTACGAGGCAGATTGATTTTTTTCGTACCAGAAAATACAAGAAGGCTTACAAACTTGATTCCCTAATAAGCTTCTCTGGTTTCATGTTGAAATTTTAATTTATAAAATAAGAATGAGAATGAATCTTACTGCAACGTTCGGGAAACGTCTGACGTTTATAGCGAGTAAGTATATTTTCAAGGCCATCTGACAAATAGCCTTTTGATGATGAGCCAATACGTAAGATTAAAATTTTATGCCATGTTTCATCTGTCACCTTCTAAAAACTAGCTACTTATGGCATGACAAATGCGTGAAATTCTGATAAGGAATTTCCATTTTTAGAAACTTTGGATTTGGATTTATTTAGTATTTGGGCTCAAATTTACTCTTTTCAATTCCCCAATTTCATAAGGCTATCACTTTAAATTTAAGAGGTAGAAATGGAAAGGATAGAAGCAATAAAATATCAAAGATTGCGACCTGACAAAATTTTTGATGGAACGAATTTCTATTCAAAGATTTAATTTTTAGAAAAAAACGTTTATTTCTTATCACAAATTCTTGTTTTTTACACAATATTTCGACTTGGTTGACTTAAAAATTACGAGCTCTTCCTTTTTGCTTAAATATAGAAGTAGATAAGCCATCAGAAACCATTTTTTTCTATCAGTACCATTAGATTTTGTCCCAAAATCTTGTGCCAAAATTTTGAAATAAAAAATTTTATATGGAAAACTGAATTTCATAAAATTTACCCTTACCTTGAACTGATTTATATCATCCATCATATCAGTGTAAAAACCATTGATGTCGTTGAAAAGTGATGCAATAAAAAAAAGCGTGATGGTGATGAATAGAGCACTGGTTGCCACCGCTAAACCAATGCAAGCCTTCGCACCCATTATGCTTTTTATTTTATGATTTTACGATCTCTCTATAACTCCTATTCTTATAATGTCCTTCCAACAACAAATGAGGGCAAATCCTACGAGCTAATAAAGATAATGAAAGACGAGGATAAGGAGGCTATCGTACAATTCGGCTATTTATTGCTGCTTTTATATAAAATAGGAGGCCAACTACAGTTTTCATCAGATGGGTACTGTGATGGTGCTGAAGCATAATGCTTGAACTCATAGTTTAAGCAAATAAAAACATCATTTGGGCAAATAATTAATAAATAAATTGAATAAAGTTTAAAATTTTAAAGTTTCAAAAATTATAATTTTATTGGTAACGAATCACGGCCATTAGTGATGAATGAACCAAATTCAATTCTTTTGGGTTCACATTCTTCAACGACATTAAAATTTGCGAATGTCTACTCAATTTTGATAAGTCATTAAAAATTATTCCTTTTTTGAACCGGTTTTCTTTGTTTTTTTATGCAATTTTTTATTTGTACTATTTGATATAATGGCTGATGATTGTTTGATATTCACAAAATAATGCAAATAATTAATATATATTAAATAAGAGAAACTATCGTTAAAAAGGAAAGTTATTTAGAATTTTGCAAATTTATATTTGATAATTTTGCATATTTTTTAGCATTTCTAAAATTATTAAAAGAAATGTTAAGAGCAACCATCATAAATTCTTATCCATCAGAGGAAATAAATCCATATTTAAAGATAGAATCATAAAATTGCAAAAAAATTTCTGGCATTGTGGGTTCAGCTGGCTTTTCTATCTCTAAGCGAATTTCTCTGAGCAAGATTCTTAAGGCTATAAAATAAGCGAAGAAGTGGGTGTGTAAGTGTGATTCAGTGGAACCAGCTAATTGAGAAATAATTGCTACTATTATCAGATAAAGTTCTGAAATACTAAATGCTCCTGCAATTTATACTAATGATGACAATAAACGTTCGCTAAATTTTAATGGTACATCGGTAAACTTTTGCTAATTTTTATATTCTATGTCGATTTATTAAGGTTTTAATGCACATAGCCAAGATGACTCAAATAACATAACATTACAATTTTGTTGGCAAAAAACCATCTAGTGATGCGATAAGTTGATTTTTTTGGATGCAGAAGCAGCAAACTAACAAGTTAGCAAATTAATTATTAAAAATACAGTTATTTAGCTTCTTCTTGCTTGTTGCTGCTGCTCGAACCAGTGAGTTTCGGATATAATTCGTTCACTAATGTTTACTTTCGATGAAAATTCAATGAATAACGATTCCTTCTTTCTGGTCATTTATTATGGTGTAACTATTTTTTAAAGAGTCATTATTTACACACTTTTTTCGCTTATTTTATAGCCTTAAGCGATATGTTCAGAAAAAAATTTACGGAGAATATCTTATCAGATGTTAATTAAATTCCTTGTTTTGATCAAAACTACATTACAATTAATCACCTTAACATGTTGAAACTTTCGTGAAATTTACTTTTGATGAAAATAAGTGCAATTAAGAAAATGGCAACTGTTTTGCTACTCGTCTTTCCATGACTTTCCATGATAATTATTTATTAAACTTTTATTTTTGACTTGTTTTTTCAATTTTTTACAACTTATATTTAATTTTGCTTTAAATTTACTAGCTTATAGCAGATTTTAAAGGCACATATCACTTTTGTTGCAAATAAGGTCAGCCTAATTTATAATGGAACGCAGAAGAAGTAAAGTATATATATATATCCCCTTCCTCCCAACTCTCCTCCTATAAATAAGCTTTTAGTAAACAGTAAACTTTTAGACAGGAAAACTAGTGATTATAACCGATACTACTATCATTCAAACCATTTAATTATCAGATAAATATGCATCTGAGATGTTTTTGAAATAATTCGGATTTCGAAAGTATTTCTTATCTTCGCACCGATTAAAAGTTCTAATTTTTGATTTTAATTTGTAAAATTTTGCACTTCAAAGATTTTACTCGACATAGCCTATTAAACTTATATTTAACGTATATGGACCTATATATCAATTTGTCTGACAATTAAAAATTAAAAAAATATTATAAAAACTAAATTGCAACAACCTGTTCTTCATTGTATTTCTAAGGTATTTGATAAAATTTTTCCATTCATTTTGATCCATAAGAAAAAATAGGAAAGAAAAACCATAAATTAAAAATAGTTCGAATTTTTTCTGGAAAATTGATAGCTTTCTGGAGACATCTCATTGATTTAAAAATATTAATATAAATATTTAAATATAAAATATAAATAATAATAAATATTCATATCGCGGATCGCAAAATATTTATTTAAAAATAATTACTTCGTTGAAATCATGTGCTCTTGTAAATGGGCTCGAAATAACCAAATAAAGCCAAATTTTTAGATGTGATAATTAAACTGGGCAATTAAAATTATGCGATAGGTTTTTGATAAGCTAAAAGCGCTAATAAATAAAGGATTCAAGAAATACTTATGGGTAGGGCAATTATGATTTCTCACAAGTCGATTGGTATACTGCTCTACGACGAATAATTTAACTGACTCGTTCCTCATTTTCTCTGGATTTTCTGGCGAAAAGAAAACGATGTACTCTTAAATTCTAGTTTTTTATTGCAAACATAGTACTGTTTTCATTTACCAGTTTTATTTTCATTTTGCAACTGTTATTTTGCATTATAATTTAAATTTTGTTTCAATAAACTTGCAATATTTGCAATTTGACTGATGGCTTTGGTGATTACTTCTTTTGCCAAAAGACCCTTTAACAAATTTCTGATCTTATTAACAGCCAACTGAGCAAGTCCACGAGAAATCGCAAATCACTTACTTTATGAAACTTTGAATTTTAACATTTAATTAAATAATAACAATTGCAGCTTACATAAATTTTGTTGTATATTTGATATGATTATGAGATTATTTCAATTAGTTGATGCTTTTTACTTTTTTGAAATAAAAGTTGTGGAAACATTGTTTGTTCACAATGGCATAATGGTTCATTCCCTCATTAATTCCCGTATATAGCGATAAATATTTAAGGGACATAATGAACCAATACAAATATAATTCGAAAATATTTCATCGATTTCTATCATAGTTTGAAAAAGTTTAAGCAATGAAAAATTCTTATATCGCAAAAATCGTGAATAAATATATTTTTATTTTTTGTTTTAACTTTAACTTAACCTTAACGAGAAACATTCAATGATAACCAAAAGCTTTTGCTATTACAAATGTCATCGAAAAATTCAGGTGACGCTGGAGATCCACTAGTACTTCTATGACTTTGACAGCGCGGATGATTTGGGGAAGATGATTAGATATTAGCGATTCACACTCGTTACATATTACTTGATCTATTACCACAATCCAGACTGAGGCTTAGGCTCGAACCCGGCTGACTCCGACAACATTCCGCCGGGCTGAAATGTCGCTTAGCGACCAAACCTAAACAGCGATGGAAGGCGCCCTTATAAAAAAAAGTCTCTTTGGTGAAAATTCCTAGCTGTACTCGTAGTCTAGCAGAACTAGCCTAACCAAAAACGACGAGCACTTGCTAAAATTAAATGAAATTTATCATTCATATTTTTTTAATAGCTTTATTCATTTGTTTTTTCCTCGTTGAGTTTCAGCCAAAAAATTTAAAATTATGAATTTTTTAGCTTTTTTTCTATTCTCTTTTAATTCTGCTTTTATAAGGTTGTTTAAAAACAATTTTCATTCATTGTGGAGTTTTCATTCATAATTAAATGTTACAACGACAGATTTTAAAAAAAATTTTCAAACAAGTTTTCATACACGAAATTACAAAACTTGCAGCTAGAGACTTCCGTAATATAAAAAAATTAGAACAATTCGAATTAAGTAACGGTCTTGTGAATGTGGCCCTGCAGATTCGCATAATCTGGGAATACTACATTCGTAAGGCGATATTGGCGATTTACGCTCATTACATATGCTGGATCCATCACCGCAATTGCTTTTAGCATCTAAATCCCCTTCAACACATTCACATTCAATAATATTCTTTTTGAGACAAAGCGATGAAACATTGAGTAAGGGCATTGGACAAGCAATATAACTTTCCATAATTGAAATATAAGAGAAATGTTGCCAAATATCTATAGAATTATAAATTTTTGTTCTTTCGGCGATAAAAGAATTTACGGTAAAATTTCGAAAGGCACCACTCTGAGAATCCATAATCTCGCTATCATGGATTAAGATTTTTTTAATAAATCCGTCATTAAAGGAAGCTCTTTCAATAACATTAATAGAGCTCGAATTAATTTCAAGGCGATCTATTTGACTACCATAAAATGCATTTTGATGTATTGAAATTCGCGAATTACATAATATTATGGTCCTCAACGATTGAGATACTCCTTTAATAAATAGAAGTTCAACGCCGTGGATGTGAAGTGCAACGAGCGGCGTTGAAGCGAGCAATGTCTTATGCTCCAAGTATAGTTGAAAACAACCCTCGATAAAAAGCACAGAAACATCCAGTTGCGGAAGGTTCACCGGCTCATTAATGTTGCATACACATTCAGCGATTTGTCGGCTTAATCTGCAGGTGAGACCATTGAATTTAGAAATTCGATCCTTAACACAAATATCTTTATTTTCGATGCATTGATTGTCTTCAAATCGCCATCGCAAATCTTTTTTAGATTTGATTAAAATGAGCGAATTCGTCTCGCAATCATGCGGATCACATGGGAAATAATTCCTCATTATTAGAAGAAAATTTGTACTTAAGTTGGTGAAAATATCTCTTAAAACACCTTTCGTGATCACATTTGCAAGCATCGTAATATTGTCGAACTAAAAATTAAATATTATAACAATGGATTTATCAGAAAATTTTGGCATCTGAATTTTGGAAGCAGCTGTCGACTATTCTGCTACTTAGACTACCATTTCAAACATCTTATCGTGGTCCCTACTCGTTAGGCGTAAAAAACCTTAGCCTTGAAAAGACATAATCGGATCTTTTTGAGGGCCTAGGTATACTTCTATTCCCAAGTGATTCTATGACAAAAGGCTTTCATTCTAGTTGGCAATGAAAGCTGAAATAATGAGTGCTATAGAAAAAATTTACTTTAATCATATTAAGCGAAATTTCTGAAAATATTTTAATTAAAAGAATAGTTCATAAAAAAAGTTTGTTTCGTATTAGCCGTTTTTTACAAGTACAAAATTTATTAAAGTTATTAAAAATATTTAAAAATGGTACTTACCTGTGATTTCAGGAAAGGCATTTCTCTGATTTGTTGAATTCTCGAATTTACTATCGAGAGATTCTCGCCCATAATCTCTGCCAAACAATATTTCTTCAAATTTCCCATGTAAACATTGTCAATGACAATAGTATTAATTCGACTCTTTGCTAGTATTTTACTCGATATTTTATTAATGGTACTATTTAATAATAGCAGTGAGTGAATAGAATTGTTTTGCATGGCATTATGGTGAATTTTATCGATCATAGTGCTTTTAATGTTTAATTGAGCAATTTTCGATGTTTGAATAGAACGAGCTTCGATAACTCCAATCCTCGACTGGGCAATGCTAAATCGCGCTATATGCTTAGCATTGAGAAACGATTCTGACTTGATTCGCTTAATTACCGACTGATGAAATTCAATAAATTTAATATGGTTCTGACTGTTTCGTGAATTTCCTCTAATTTCTTGGACTTCACTTTCGTGAATTTTAATAGAACTCACGTTTCCTGACGTTAAAATAAAACTATTTAGAATACAGTTTAATAAAAAGATTTCATTTATGTGAAATACAAAAGTTTGTTTTTTTCCGTTTATTATATTTTTCCATCGGGAATTTATAAATTTGAGGCGATTCGTTTGAAAATCGCTAAATATTTGCTCATCGCTAGTAATATTAGCATCTTCGAAAATTAATTCAGAAATATATGAATATGCGAATACTGAATGACCACTTGAACCAATATAAATACTGCTACGAAAAAAGAGATGTGCAATGTCTCGCATGTAACCTGAATTATCACAGACTTCGATAGAAATTCTTGAAAAATTATTGAAAATTTTCAATTGGCTAAAAAAGCTGAAGGAAGTGATCTCCCTGGCTTAATGATTTCATTTAGATGCGCGAACAAAAATGAAAACTGACACTGCAAAATTTCGAGATTAGCAGAGCTTTAATATAGCATTGGAAAGTCGAAGAAATCACTACAAAAAATCATTAGAATAGTGGTTCTCAACTTGTTTTTCGAAGATTCCTTTAGAAATTAATGAGCCTTCTTAAAGAACTTCCGTTCGTATAAGTTATGTGTATCGAAATTTATATTAAAAATTTCAATGGAAAAATTTTTAAATATTAATATTTTGTATTAGAATTATTTTTATCAAGTTTATTGATCAGTGAAAGTTCTTTATTTTTAAATAAAATCTGCACAATTCTAAAGCTTAAGTGCAACCTTTGCAAAGAGGAAATAATGTCATAATAACATGAAAGTGGGAAGGGTCAAGGGTCATTCGAAACGGCGCCTAGAAGCTTTGGACTACAAGCTAAAAACCACTCGAAAGTGAGTGTCTATTGTTCCAGAAGAGTGGGAAAGATAATTGAACAAATTTTAATAATATTAAAACTAACCAAATGAGAACTGATCTAAGGAAAATATAACTGTATCACGGAAGTATAAATATTCAATTTTGGAAATGTTCTCGAACGAATTCTGTGCTATGAAACCAATTGTTGAATTGCGAAACCAAAAATGTTCCATATTCGAAAGACCACTAAAGGCATTTTTTGGGATTTCTCGTATAGTTGCACCATCAATAACGATCTGTTGAGGTGATTTTAATATTCCACGAAATGACCACGGTTCAAATAAAATTTCTTTTACCAAAATTATCTGCAAATTTCAACAGTGTTGCAACGAAAAAAAATAAGCTAATAAATTTTGGATTTCTACTCAAAAATTACAAAAGAATGGATAAAGGATTTAATGATATCTATTATCATTTATTGGATTCAATATTTTTTTGTAGTAAACTTTTTTGTAGTAAACTTTGTTATTCTTTTTCGGAAAATTTTTAATTTCTTCTTCCATAGCAAAATTGTTTCGAGAATATGCGGGAAATTCAAGCTTTTTAAATGCAGTTTTACTATTGTGAAGCTTGGAACTAAACCATAATACTTGAAATACTTGAAATCTGAGCAACTCTCACTCGGATTTTACTCATAGATTTTTAAAAAATTCCTTGAATTTCCAGAAAATCAAGACACTATTTTATAAAGCAGCGAAGGCCGACTCTTCACAAAAAATATATTATAAACTAAAAAAAAGGAAAATGAAATTATTTTAATTCCAGCAAATTTTTTTATCGCCAAAGTCAATAATTACTCTGTCGGTTCATTAAAATTTGACAGAGTATGTCGGAAAAAACTGAAAGAATTTATTGTAAAAAAACGATTAAAACGATCTTTGAATAAACGATTCTTTAAATTAGCTACTTCGTATTCAAATCATACAATATTCATATCCGTCAGCTAATTTTCAAAAAAAATTATAAATTGTTTATAAATTTTGGGGACAGCTGTGAAGCAGCAGTTGTACTCTTGAAACAATAATTTTTATACAATTTTAATGTGATTTGCATAATACTGTAAGCTCAAGCGACATATGGAAAAAAAATAAGCTCATAGAATCAGTTCGAAAGGTGCTTAAAAAAAAAAACGGCGAACAGGAACTTCGACCAATTTTTTCCCTCAAACCAGAATTCAACGCGACATTCTCTTTCTTCCTTAACACTACTCGTCTCATTGACCTAATTATTATCTACTGTAATATATTGTTGCTATAATTCAATAGTAAATAAAACTTTTCCTTTGCGACTCAACACAACTTCCACGGCACCATATGTTCTGGCACTGAATCCGGAGGCTGGAGAAAACCAAGAAGAGAAAATGCAGCCAATTGAAGCAAAATAAGTTAGAAAAAGAAAAAGATTCTTTTTCTAAACTAAAGAAAAGATTGGAATTAAATAGTACCTAAAACCAAAACCAACTGAATATCTGAAAAATGACATATATATAGTTCTGAATCTTTATCTGGTGGCAGCAAACAGTAGCAGTGCCCTATGATTCTCTGTATGAATAATCCTCGATATGTGGATTTATAGGAACCTCTAAGCTCTTTGAATGCCTCTATCAATTCTTAAAAGTGGACTTAGACGATGAAAAAAGGAATGGCTTCTATTACTACTAGCGATGGCATCGGACCGAGCAGCTTGGAGACGTTTTATTCTTATAGCCAGCTGAACCAGCCTAGCCAGTAATGGTAAGAACTGTTAGAAGAAGAAAAATTCTTAAGAGTGTAGAAGAGTTGTAAAGGAGTTACGAAGGCAGAAAGTTGGAGAGCCACTGGTGTAAATTATGCACCAAACTATTACATTTAGGATTTCATTCTTTATTCTAAATCCTATACGATTCTACATAAAATTTGCCCAATATGCCCAATTTGAATTTAATATATTTGAGATGCAAACAAAATTTAATAGAGGAAGAAAAATTTGGCACGGTTACGGGAAATTAGATAGTAAATAAGCACCATATATAAGACCAAAACCACCGAAAGCTGGTTTACATTGATTGATTGGTTAACACTGAGTGAAAACTTGAGATTTTTTACTCAATATAACTTTCCAACTAGCAACGACATAATTTCAGAAGTAATAGAAAATAAAGGGAATTAGTTAAAATTGTTTAACAAATAATTTATTCAATTTATCATTAATTTATTAGATTTAAGATCGAAATTAAAGAAAAATATTCAATTTAAATTATTATTCAATATTCAATATTCAAAAATATTCAATTATTTTGGATATTATAATGCTAAATGGAAGAAATTTGCTCAGAATTAACTATTTTAGGATACATAATTTTTAATCATATAATATAATATGAAAATAAAATAAAGGATAAATCGAAATATTTGAAAATGTGGTAAAAATAGCAATTTTTGGAGATAGCAGCATTTGAACTTAGAATCAAACAAAGCAGAAATGGTGCAGCCAGCTAGAATAAAATTCACCAAAGGAAAAGCTGGCATTAAAAAGCACCATGATAATATCTTTTTCTCTTTTCATTTCACTTGGTTTATTCTTTTACTGAACTTTTCTACATTTTTTCTATCGTTTCTGACGGGTGTAGTGCCTTTCTGTTAATATTTTGCAAAAATTCATTTGAACCAATTTCTAAATTTATTCTATTTTGTGCTATTAATAATGCAAATATTTCTATTTCCTCAAATAAATTAACGACAAGGCAAGATTAATTAAGATTTTCAAATTTTATTATAATTTTAAGTCAAAATTATAATAAAATTTTGAAATATAAATCAAAATTGAAATAGAACAATGATTGAAGAACGATTCTTTCGATGAAAAGTCGATTCGTTATTTATTTTATCAGTTTGGAATATCTTTCGTTATTATTTTCATTATTTATACTTTCCATTATTCTAGAATAATAGTGAAGTAATATTCTAGAGATTATCTTTGCTTTGAGTATTTATTGACAAGTAATAATCTAGCAGAGCAAATAACACCAGAAAAAGCAGATGGTACGACTTCGCTTTTTTTAATTTTTTCGTATCAAAAACTTTTTTATCAAATATCTGTCGCCATAACTGATTGGCTCGCTCCGTTGATTTGTTGAACCAAGCAAATTTTGCCAGAGAGCCATTTGGCGCTACAGCTGAGTCATCAGTCAGATTTTTAAGGGGAAATTTGCGTGGAGGACTGAACAACAACTTCTACGGCACTCTACTTTCACCACTTGGCGATGCTGGCATATGATACGGATACGCAAAGCCACCGACGCCCCATAATATCAACTACTTTATCCATTGTATCTTAATTGCTAAATAAATATTTGAACCAGACTATCGATAAATAAAATTGCGAATAGCTTTGTCGCAATGAAAAAAAGTAGCTTTTTTTCTCGAAATTACGAATCAAACAAAAAATTCTAACTTTGATGAAATTTGTCACAACTATTCCAGAAAATGTATCGCTAGCAATTATTAATTTGTCGCATGAATGTATAGTTAAAGATTCAAAATAATGTATCACGTCTATTCTTGGTAGACGAAGTGATTTCTCCAACATATCCTCGCACCTGAAATGAGCATTCCGGTGAATCGGTACAGTTTTGCTTATTTCATATATCTAAGCTTCTAAGCTTCGAGCATTTGATACAGGAAAAAACACCTTGTTTTAGAATATTGTTGAATTATGTGAATGGAAATTACCCACACATATTTGCCATATTTAACTTATTTTCTACTCATTGTTTGAAATTTAGCGCAATTAAATTAAAGTTTACTAGTCAAGCAGTTGCCAATTTGAAATATAATCTTAAATTATTGAAATAAATACATAGGATCCACGCTGCTGAAAAATCCAATTATAAACAAGCTAAGTGAATAAAATAGAAACCCTGAATAAGGAAGAAAAAACTCACGTGCAAACAATTGTTTTATTCACGCAAAAACAACCAAGTGGACAAGCTGCAATCCCTTCATGGACAAAAAAAAATTGTAAAAAAAGTGACCAATATGAAACCATAGCGACAAGAAAAAATTGAAAAAATCCGTCTAAAAATTGCATTTAGAGGAATTTCCAATAGAATAGAGTACATTTCTTGCTTTAGGGCATTAGATCATCTGATAAAAATAAAGAAGTGAAGAATTTTCTTGAAGAGTCCAGAAAAAGCCCACCGAGAAGAAACGCTTCTCCTATAGCTTATTCGATGAAAATAAAATATTCTTGCTTATTCCTTCACGTTTAAAGGTTTATAAGGAATTCAGGAAAGCAGAAATTAAGAAAATCTAAAGCCGGAAAGCTGAAATAAGAGAAATATTAGAAATATTGTATAAAGAAGAAATCACAAAAATTTCCTGATAATTGATTAAATGAAAGGCGCTTAACTTAAAGATGAAATCATTTATCCATTTAGATAAATCCAATTGAATTGAGGACGAAGAAATCTTTCTTAGGTCGCTCATTCATCACCGCTTCTTCACGACTTATTTAATTATATTTTTGCCATTTTATGTGCTACTTAAATGCATTTTTATTATATCTTACTTCATTCACTTCAACAAAATGCTCATTCGTTGATAAATTTATTGATGAACGACAATTATTGCAATTTTTATTATCTTCGAAAAAAAAGGAATTTAAATTAAGGAATTTAAACTTATTAGTTAATTAGTTAATAAGAAAAAATTAATTAATAGTTAAAAATTTTTTATGAAAAAGGCCCACCAAAAAGCAATTAAATTTTTATAAATTATCAAAATTTTTTATTAATTTTTCTTAAATTGAAACAGATGTGTTTGTAGCATCACATATTTGAAGAAATTATGCTACAAAATCTTTAATTTTTCTTTTTCTTCCAACAGCTCGTACCGTTCCTGGCTCCACTGATTACTGGGGTGAGGTGAGTTGAAGATGTAAGTAACAGAATCCACTCCGTGGCAGTCACCATTGCCCGCATGGTGCTAACAGCCCATTCTTTGTTTTAATCAAGTAAATGCTTCAAAAATTTCTAACCGCACTAACAGCTAACCAGAAATGATGAGTCTCGGCCACTTATATATAGTCATTTGTAGAGACAGAGTTTAGAACGAATTTTTTCGCTTAAATTCGTTTAAAAAAGTATTTGTGAAAAAAATCTCATCAAATCTAATCGGCTTCATGCAAATGGTGAAACTTGAAGATATAAGCTGATAAGAGGTGCAGTCCGCTCAATTAAGATTTATTCAAAAGTCGAGGTAATTCTTTCGCACTATAACTCGAATCGAAGTCCAATAACTACTTGTAGGTTGTAGGTTGACAAAAAGTAATTTAAAGACTGCGTTAAATTAGAAAATTTTTACGACCTCATTCCAGCATTAACAAATTAATTTATCGCGGAACTTCCATTTGATAATTATAACTATTCGTTGAACCTAATTATTATTATATTGCACGCTATTATAAATTTATAATAATAAATTTAATGAGCCGTATTCTCATTAATTCCACACCTTTTTATACCTTATCACTCGAATAAATAAATACTGCCTTTGCTGAAATATCCATTATGCTTTCATCCACTTTTCCTGTTTCTCTTATTTGAGAAACTAAAAATGAAAAATCTTTGTTTAAACCCAAAATAGTGCTTTTTTTAAAGTGGAGCTATGTTTCACTGCTTATCGCGGAATAATTATAAGCGTGAAATCCTCCAAATTCTTCTGAAATCCTACCGAAGTGGGAAAATACTATTCCGAGTTAAATTCCTTTTTTATATTAACTGCCTAAATATAAATATAAACCAAAGAATAATCATTTCAGTATTGGTGAATACTTCAGTATTTGGTAATTTTAGATGGTTCTGTTTATTGGACATATCTTGGAAAAATTGTCATTTAACAGATTTTTGTTTGCAAACATCTTTTTGATGATAACTTTTGGTAAGACCGCCAACGATTCCTCTCCACTAATAAGAGCGGATCTATTATTAAATGTGAAATTGAATTACTGTTGAGGAAATTTGAAATTGTTGGTGCAGATCGAAATTATTATAAGAGAG